AAAAAAGAAACAAAATTTGTAACATCCTATACAACTCGCGCCACAGCGTCGCATTACAAGCCTCTCCTTCTAACAGTATGTTTTGTTTTAAATTCATTCAACCCATTCATATGCTTTGTGACCTTTACTAATGAAATTTACGTTACGCTTTTATAGGTAAGGGTGTTCTAAAGTTCTTTGTTTTGGAAAATTTAATAACTCTGTAAATATTGATGTTTAAAGAATTTAAATGTTTAATACAACTTTAAAAAGTTATCCCCTACATGTGTGTTCATTTATTGTCGCGATGGTAACGACACGCTGTATATGTGCTCTAGTTCAATATCATTGCACTAAAAAAATACAAACTATCCTGAAACCTCACAACAGAGCGTGCAAATCGCACTTATGTAATCGAACAGTACCTATAACTTTATCGCAAAGGTCCACGCGGTAAAGCCGCGGTTAAAGGCTAGTACTTGATATTTTCTTGGACGCTCATTATTTGAAACTGGTTACGACACACTGCTGAACGTATGACATGCCCTTTCAAATGATTCCAATTCCCACGATATAAATATAAAATCAGGGCAGCGAGTAATGTAGGCATCTAGTAGATAATTATTGTTAATACAGCCACTAAAAGGGTAATAATATTCATAGTCAGAGTCCGATTTAAGTATTTTAAAAACTTTATTAAGTATTTCATATATCATTTCAAATTTTAAAAATAATAAGTCAAAGTTTACCTAAATATAAAGCGATGTGACATAATGAAATAGCAAAACTCCCCGCAAAAAGCAATTTTTTGTAAGCAACTAAAGTTACTCAGCTAAAATGTCAAGTGTCGACCGCATTGTTACTTATTACCGGGTCCGGTTTATAATACATAGAATAAACAACTTACTCCGTAAAGTGAACGAAGGACATAACACCCACCCGAAATCATTTGCACAATTATTAGCGTAATAAAACCAGAAAGTTTAAAATTGGAAGATAGGTTGATTTATATGTTTGTGAAAACGATTCATTTATGTTTTATTTGTTTAGGCTGTATGGTATGATATATCTTTGACTATTCCGAGAACATGGAAATGGAATATTTAAATCTTCGCCAATGATTTAACGAGTTCTTTTAAATGTTATTTTTGAAACATCAAATGCTTTGAAACAAAAAAGGGAATTGACAGGATTATATTTATTGACGTATAATAGATAAGATTTATGTTTCTATGTCCAAATAATAATTTATAATAAGTCTCTGTATCTACAAATATTTTATTTATTTTATTTTATTGCTTAGGAAAACATACAGAACTTACATAAAATATGTGATGCCAATAAAGTTTTCACCACTAACTTTTATATATTTTGCATCAGAAGTATACAATTATAATATCGAGAAAAAAGAAGATGCAAATACAAATCTAAAACCTTAATGTTTTGAAAAATAACATTTACATATTATTTGTTTATTTCCATTTGAAATGATGAAATAATTAAAAAAGCATGTGTCTACGTATATGAAGAGAATGTATATATGTATGTATGTTCACCTAAAACTCGAGAACCGTTAGCCCAATTGATATGAAATTTACCACAAATTTATAGGGCGACATGACCACTTCGTCCGACGAACAAAGTTTAGTTAGAGTTGGTTAGGTGGCGATGTCGGAATTCATTTTTATCTTTTGAACCATAGATAGGTCGAACTAATGCGAAGCGCATCGGCCAGCTAGAACACTAGTAGGTACTTAAGAAGTTTAAGAAAAAGTTAGTGTCATATTTAGATGATCGCTGTACAATAGAGTACAAACATTTTACTTTGGGTCCGATATTGTTCAACAGTTTTAGGAATCTGTCTGTTGTAGCATACAATACAAATCCTTTTTAGCCAATATAAATCTTAAACCTAATAAAATACAGGGACATTAAGAAAAATACTTTTTGAACATAACAAAATACAGGGACATTAGGAAAATTATTTTTACATTGCACCGTGTGGAAAGTAACGAGAAAATATGTGTTCGGTGTAAACTCTTTGAATAAGCTCATACCTCTTCCGATTCATTAGGCCCGTTCTCGCTTTAAGGCTTTACTGGGCGCACTTTCAGTTTCTCTTTAATGCGAGATAAGCATATAAAATTTAATAACAGCCTACCGATCCACTTTCATCGTTTGCGCGTACCTAAACTCTGTCAAGTTTCGCAAATGTAACAACGCAAAAATGTACTTGAGAAAAGCATGAAAAACCGACATGTATTACGCTTAAATGAATGGGGAAGCTGAAAAGGCAACAAAAAAAATTTAAAGTTCACAAAATAAATATTCTACAAGGAGAAATCTATAAGAATGTTAGGCTAGCGATAGGTATTTGACATTAGCTCCATAATACGAGTACTTACGTCAAAATTCTATCTCCAGTTACCAGAAAGTAGGGAAAATTAAATTATATCGCCACAATCTTATATATATTCACAATTCACAATATTCACAATTCGATCAACATTATTTTTACTTTTTTATTTATAAGTTGTTTTCGGATTTCAGTCGTGTTTACTCCTGTAAACGTCGTTACGTTGTCCTCAACGTCTGTCGAGTCCGCTAGTATAATTATATAATGGGTATTACTATTCCAGAATGACATTCGCCACACAAATTAAAATTTAACAGAACCCCGTTCGCGGGCCGGCACTATAACTTGATTTTTCCATCCAATAAAATGCCCATAAGGCACAAAATTTTGTTATACAAGCCTTGCGTACAACCCATAATGCCCTACGCATGTATGTCCGTTGCTTACTTAAGCCCCACATGAACAAGCTTCAGGTAGATAATTCAAAATAAGTTCATCCTCCTCGCAATCGGTGCTAGGTGCTATCAAATATCAACGTAACTTCAACCTACATAATTATTGCAGATTCCCGATCCCTACGCGAACACTCTCAATTAATTAAAACACACGTTTCATCGGAACAGCCGTAAAACCATATCAATCCACGCAGGGAACCAACTCGACATAAACTTAACCGTTTACAGACGTTGCGTACGTAACATCCTCGTTGATTCAATCGAGGAAGGGTATACATACAAAAGGTAATAAATAGGTACGTTGGACGCACCGAGAGTCCCGCTAGATAACAGTATACGCACACATAGTGCTTACACACAACTAATTAGTACATCCTCGCTCACAAGCATTGTGCGTTCCGCCAGCCTCTGATCAATACAGTCAATGGCCATCGAGGGCCACGGTCCGTACTGAAACTCAATGGCCTGTAGTTAACATTCTTTGCGATTAAAATAATGCACGCACGAAGTACATGCCCCCCTAAAACCCGGAGGGCCGTATCAAGCTCTTGGATTCAGCTTTTATAAGCTTTAATCTACGGACTGAAAACGAAAACTTCAGTTAAAATAATGTAACTTTATTAAAAGGTGGCAACGCATTCGCAACCCTAAACTAAACCCTAAACTACGGGTGTTGCAAATGTCCATGGGCTGGCTGTTATCACTTGACATCAGGTGAACCGACAGCTCTCTTGCCACCTTCTCACATAAAAACCAAAAAAAATTGTATCGTACTCTCTTTACACTGCAGCGATTCAAATCTACGAAGAGATTCTTGCGCATTCCTACAAACTCCTTTGTAAGATCATCGTGAAACCCATGTTATATAGCTCTTGATTATTCAAACGAAGTGAGCGAGTAAGATAGTAGAATTCATTGTTAGCCATCATTAAGATGTGCTTACAAACACACGCTATAATCACCTTTCTATCTTGCGGATACAAAGGTGGATAAAGGAGTAAGTTTATACTAAAAGCATTTAAATTTTGATAAAGGGATTTGGTGGTTGGTTAGTTATACATTGGCAAGATTTGAATAAAAAACCTTCTTACTCAATTCTACTTATTTAAAGTTAAAATTTGTGAATGAAGTTTGTTCTCGTAATGGCGAATTCCAAGTGTCCTTGCGAAGTTAAAAATTTTGGCACTTTCACAACCTTGTCTGACTTAAGTAGATCAGTAACATTGTAAAAATGTAACAGTAATGGAAAATAAAATAAAAATAAAAAGTTTAAAGTTATTGCTTCCATTTGATTGAAATGTGGTGGTAGGGTAGTATATTTTATTTAGATTAACAGCTATTTAGCTGGTGAATACATTACATTGTATGCATCATTGAAATCGGTTTTAATTTGTTTTGGCTTCATATAAACAGGCACATAACACATATATCTAAGGTTTATATGAAAAAAAAAGAGTAACTAAATATGACATTTTTTTTTCTTTCAATGTAAATAGAAGGTTTCTATGAAATAAAATAATAAAAAATACAGATTGATAGTCGATGGCCGTGACCGTGAGGGCATATCCTTTTTATAACGTTTACAGCTTTGTCAAGGCGAAGCCTTATTTACCACTTCTTAAGTAAAGTTTTACTTATTGACTGATAATGCTAAACATCATGGCTTTAATACAGAAGGTACATTACATACAAGTTTGAAATTATGAACCTCTAAAAAACTTTTTCAGACTACGAGCATAAGACTTTAAATAGTAAACTTATTGACAAGACTCGATTTCATATAGAAATATTATATCTAAATCGTGTACTGTGAAGGCGACGCCTTCGCAGTTAAGGTGACATGTAAACAAGATATTCAATCAATGAGCCACAAGCAAAGGCTTGTTACAAAAAAAATCACAGACGCCACTCTATTATAATCTTTGAACTTTTCCCTTGAAATATTTATTTTTACAAAGCCAATCGGCAAGGGCGTCCGTGTAAAATACGCCTCCTTTGACAAGTGACTGTTTAAAAAAAGAACGTCTGTGCTACGGTTGCCATCTGCTATTAGCTACGTGTTTGCATCCTCCATGAGGGTTGAACCTTTGTTTACCGTTTAAGCCTGTCCGGGCGTGAAAAAGCGCTCTGCATCATACCGGGGGGCCGTGCTCCGAGTAGAAAGTGAAACCGCTCCGTCGAAAGGTTGCTATAAAATTGTAGTGTTGGCTATGGCGTGTTCAGTCGAGGCGTGCCGCGCGCACCCGTTGTACCGTTACGCAGTTTCCCGCCATAAGGACGCCATGGTCAGTTCATTTTATATCCTTAATTTTTTTATTTCGTAGTTTGCTGTACGACTCATACGAAAAAAAAATCGTTCTTTACATTATAATAGCCGCTTTTTTATGTATTACTTTCAAGTTTTATTTGCATTATGTGTTTCGAGCTTAAAAATAATTTATATGTTTCCTTTCATTGCTGTCTACAACTGTTTCACTGCTATACATATATTCACTTGCCTTCATTAACACTTTTACTTAATAGTTACGCCATATTATGTGGCAATTAGCAATTTTCACGCGGTCTCAATAAACCAAACAGAATGTAAAATGCATTGTTAGTCAAGGCCGTATGTAATTTGTGGGTAATTAGTTTTTTCTAATTAAACCGATGAACTAGTTTAATTTCATTGGTGTATAAATATTCCATTCTTACAGTGTGATATTTTGGGAAATTGCCGAACATTGTTCTCAAGATTAACACGATAGTAAATAATGATATAAAAACAATCCTAGGTTTTATGAATATCTAAATATTTTTTTAAGGTACATTTCACTTTTTAACTTATAAGACTTTTGAAACAGCCTGTTTTTTACTAAAAATTAATTAAGTATTGTTTTCAGAAAATTGCTCTAAACTCATTTAATTTATTCATTTCAACTGTAAAAATACAGGATAATCATTTTGGACAACAAGTTATGCACTTCTTTTAAATCATTTTGTGGCAGTCTATTCTCACGTAAATTTAAACGCGGTAATGACTCACGTAACGTGGCTAGTAGATAATGCAAAGTGATAAATTTTGTATAGAGGCTGTGACAATCAATTTTCAAGAAACTTTGGCCTTGTAACAATAAACGAGACTGTTTAAAATTGCAATGTGTCTACGGTCAAATTGAATAATATTCGTTTTGCTTCCACAAAGTAATTGTTACAAAAAATATAACACTGTCCAAAGTATTTAGTACGTGGAAAATGTTTCATTACCGCTATCCGAATATTTATCTTTATTAATAGTAGATCTATTTTTTATATTTAATTTTTGCATGTGTCGCCCTGCTTTCTGCTCTCTTTGTAACAGCCTGTATAAGGTATAATACATATTTCGTTGCATTTAATTAAAGTTTTTTTATAGATATGCATAGACAGCTAAATACCAAGATGGCGATAAGCTTATCACGTGTCAATGTTGAAAACTACCTAACGATAACGAAAAAATGAAAAGCTCTACTAATTACGAATAATTTCCTGAACTTTATTAATTACTGCTGTAAATTTTACCGTATAAAATACAATTAAATGTTTTTCCACAACACCAGATTTGATACCCATCGAAACGTCATAATCGCTTAAAAATGAAAGGCAGCCTATAATATTAAAAATAAAGGAATGCCATGATCACAGTGTGATATAATCTTAATTTACAAACACATGTCTTGTTCCAATAAACTAAAACGTGTGGATTGATTGAATTTAAGAGTAGCAAAACAAGTGTTGCATAAATTAAAAATATGTAAACATCATTTGAATCTCATTACGTAGATTTTTTTCAAATCAGCGGCTTTTAAACCGAAACCCGAATCGTTATCAGTTATCAGAGACAAAGAACCGACACGGTTTGTGTCAAGGCCCAGCATCGGGTACCCGTGTACCAACTGGACATCTGGTAACACTACGCGCGGAAATCGATTTAATATCGCCGCGGTTCTACTTGTAACATTGGCTGGGCAAAATAAACGGCATTGATACCTTTCACCTACATCCAGCGCGTTGAAGGCGAGCGGGAACGCGCTTCGTTGTTTAAACCGACGCTGTAATGCCTACAGCTTCCGACTAACCGTGAAAATGTCAACCCGATCTGTAATTCACGACTCCACCTTATAAGGGGGTTAGGATTATGTATCGCTGCTTTTTACTGCGGTAGGACGCAACAGTCTTTTGTTGCACGAATGGGCAGGTCCGAAAATAAAGTACCACGGCCTCACAGAACATTGGCGCGATGTGGTTGTGTTGTATGTCTGGTGAGTGAGGTAGCCACTGATCACTTTATTAAAAGGTGGCAACTCATCTGCAACCCAACGGGTGTTGCAAATGTCAATAGGCGGCGGTTACCACTTGACATCAGTTGAACTGCCAGCTCGCTTACCACCTTCTCACATAAAAAGAAATCGATTCGAAGTGCGCTCCCAACTTAGGTACTTAGATATTTACTAGGTTCCTCTACTGCGAAAACAGTTTTTCCGGACAGTAAAAAACAGTATATACATTGCTGTAACTTAAATTTTTCACTGATTTTAACTGAGAGACAAAAACAAGTTTTTCATCCAACGTTGTTAATTTTTAAAAAAACTATTGTTCTCACTGATGTTAAACCACATTTGTAATTAAATTTAGTCAAAACAATGTTATGTATAGGCTTCACAAAGTTTCGATGAAATTTAATACCATATCTACATCGATTTTAAACCGAGAATTTAAAATGAAAAATTGCTATAAGAAGAACGTAAATAACCATTCATTTTTATGTAACATTCAGCGTTGTGTTTCCATTTCAGTGCTAACAGAATTTTGACATTAATAGTAGTAAAATCTTGGCCGAATCCGCCGGACAACCAAGGCTCATTACCTTTTACTTTCTAAAAACGATACGTAAGTCACTTCCGATCCGATTTCAAAAGAGACAATTGAACAGTGTTTCGGACGCGAAATTGTGCAAGAGATAGTGGAGGTTACGCAAGAACAATTTCACTGCGTGTAAACGTATTTGAAAGTGAGCGTGGCGGCATCATCGCTTCCAGTTGACGTGATTAGATTTCGGATTATAACTTTATTCAGTGACATTGAAAGTGCCCTATTTTCAACAGTTGACAGGTCATGTCCGTTCATGCCGCTTGTTTATTGAATTAATAACTTTTGTATCCACAAATATATTGTTAATTTTACGACGAACGAGAATGATGTTCATAAATGTTAATGCACTTCAAAAAATGTTTACATTGTCAGTGCTATGTCACAAACGTAATTTATTATTCATGACATATTATCGACATAAATTTTGTAAGTTAGTACGAATTTAATTTATACATACTTAATACTGTCAGTATTAAACATAATTGCAAGAATATTTTATACTATTTATATGATATTTTATGGTAAAAAATATCATGGCTTAAATTCATGTGATGTTGAGACTTTGTAATAAACTCATTTGTGTAGTAATTAACCGCTAGCCGGACGCTCGATTTAATTTCGCAGCAATCGAGCTTGTTCGAATTCCGGTGTTGCCACCAATGAAATTGCTTATTGCAGTAAGAAAAACATCGTTGGGCAACTTGTACCTGTTGCAAATAAAAAAATAAGCGGCGTGAAAGGATATACCATATAGGAAATTTATATATACCGTAGAGGAAACCTTTTCCCAACATCTTATAGGAACGTTTATAATTAGATACTTATGTATGTGAGTGTACTTTAACGTATTCAATATAGGGACAATTTAACGTATGAAATATAGGCACAATTTGTTAGGAATCGTGACGTAAGTAAGATGAACTTTTGAAAGCAAGGGATAGCGTGGGTGTGACATTTAACCGTTAAATCCCACGCCATGATACGCTTTATTCGTGCTCAATATCTAATCGCTGCCCACTACGTCATTTATTAACAGACAGCTAATTCTGAATTGTCTTATAAAAAATTCATTATAGTAACCAATTGTCGATAACTTAACTACGGATAATTCTCAATCAGTTAATAAGTTATTAATTCTTAATAAGTTTTTCCGATTTCAGCGATTTAAAGACATTATCGAATTTCTTCACAATGACCGCATTTGCTTCGGGCAAGTTAACCGAATATATGTTAATTATCTTACAATAAATGTAAGGAAACTGATGTCTTACATTTGAAACGTCACTCAGAAGCGTGCTCGATATAACATGATACTTTTCTTTTCCTTGCTTGACATAGCAAGACGCGTTTGAGTTGGCAACGGCTCTAATAGCGCTTGCGTAAACTTTTGTGGCCACTACCCACCGCTTGCCACATGTCGGCGCGGTTCTCGTGTTTAATCGCGATTAATTCATCAGCGTTGGTCTTACACCATGTACGGAATAGACGCATTTGTTACAAACATCTATAGGTCATAACAATAACTGTAATTTTGGATATCTCACGCTAACGGCCATTTGAACAATCGATTGATACGAAATGTCTGTCATTGTTCGCTTTTCATTTGGATCATATTATAAACACATGAATGGCTATTTTAATATGAAACTCAAAAGATGTTTTTAAGAAAGAAATTAGTTATGATCTTTGGCCGACGTAGAATTTAATCAAATTTAAAGGACGACAACGATTGTTTAACAATACCATTAGAGCAGTTAAACAAGCGCTTAATGTGTTCAACCTATTTGATATAAAATAGTAAAGATAAAAAAAAAAGTATAAAAAGTACCCTAATATGTATTTGAAGAGAATTAATTTTACGGTTTTATAAAACTGTAGAACTGTTTTATTGTATTCGCGTTGACCGTCAGTATCTTCCGCAGCTGCTGATAATGCTGGCCGCAGTTGCGGCGGTTGGCGCGATGCCCTCCTACATAGCGGTGCCGGCAGACCAGATCGCTTTCGTGGACCTGTCTGCGCTGAGGGCTAGACGCGTGCCCCGCCAGACCTTGGAGCCACCGCTGCCTCAGGGCATATACGAACAGGACTATCAGCCGATACCCGTGCAGCGATATCAGCAGCAACGTGAGTAGTCTACGTAGTCGTAAGCCTCCCCCCCCCCCCCCCCCCCTTTGTACTGCATCCTCTTTTTAACCGACTTCGACGGAGGTTCTCAATTCGAGTGTATTTTTTATGTTCGTTACCTCAGAACTTTGGACTGAAGGAACCGATTTTGATGATCCTTTTTTTATTTGAAAGCTGGTGCTTCCCATGTGGTCCCATATTAATTTCATTGGTATTGGATCTTGGGCTCCGGTGATGCCTAGGGAACTCCTGAAAATCAATTATAAAATGAATACAGAGCGATATTTGATGTCGGTTTTGTTTTTCGTTAGTAAAAAAAAATGGTTAAGTTATTTAGTTTCTACTGAATATGGGTAGAACCGCGACTGTTTCAGTATAGAGTCTATTTCTGATCAAGTATAAAAGTTGTCGACTTGGAGACACAATTGGCGTAGTAGCTAGTGACCATGTCCCTTTCGCCATGCGGTGAGAGGTACAAACATAAATTTCACGTTGACCTACACCCAGACTATCTGTAGGTCACACAAATAGTTCTCGTGTGGAGATCGAACCCACGACCCACGACGCCGAAGCCATCCATGATTTTCGGAAAACTGTTGTTGGACTAGCGAGCGACAATTCGCACATATCTCCCATGATCCGAAACCACGGGAGCGAGATAAAACCATTACCCGAGACATCATGGAGACCGTTCCGGCTTTCACCATGACAAAGGATCTTGCACTTTCCACGCGCGTCGTTCTTCATATTCAATAGCCATTGTCGAGATTAACTCTTGCATCACTCGCTTTCTTCTATTGTTCGATAAGATGTATCGTGAGTCGTGACTTGACTAGCCGACGCATCATCGAGGCGATCTTTTGCGTCGTAAATGGACAATTGTTATCTAAACATGCAACCTTTATATACGTTAAGTTACGCTAAGTTACTTTATATATGCTGTTAATTCGGGTCAGGCAGGTAATTCCAAGACTACCATTTTTTGCATACCTACAAGTTGTAATAATGCCGAGTAAGTTTAACAATTGACGAAGATTTATTTACATTTGATTAATCTCTCTTTTTTATTTCTACTATTACCAGATTTATTGTATTACCTATTTTTATTGAATAGTCTGTTTAGGAACTTCTCCATATCGCTATTAATTTAAAGGATATGTGGCTTCTATGTTCCACTGGATGAAATTTAATGCTAATTAAGCATTTTAATTATTAAGTTTTCTAAAGTAAAATTATATATTTAAAAACTGCACAGTATTATGATTATACTTTCGGCAGTATTCGTTCAGGTAAAAATTCATACCGGCCGTGTACAAAATATTTCTCAATAGTGACCTAGAATTCTTCTTGTCGTAACTTAATGTCTGGCGAGATACCTTTCCTGTTCTTGACTTATATAGAGTTTTTTTAAATACGTTACTTAATTCACGTTAAAATAAATATTGCAAATTGCTTTAAAATAACGAGAAGTAACATCTAAATATATTTGCCATCTTTCACCGTATTGCTCAAACATTGGACGTAGTTGAATTATTGATGCTTTTTATAGAAATGACTTTAAATACAATTAAAAATTGAATAAATTAGAATTTTTTTCGAATTTTAAATGTATGTTTAAAATTGTATTTTGAAAAGAAACACGTGGACGAAGGCGTGTGCAGAAGCTAGTAAGAGCAAAATACTTAAAATTTGACCGTGTTCACAGCGATAGGTCTCGCACCGCCGCCGCCCGAGTCGCCAGCGAGGCTCGTCCAAATACAGCCCCAAGTTAGGGATTCGGCCTCTGCACAGATCGTAGAAGCGGCACAGTACGCGGAGAAACCACCAGACTTCGGCGAATACGTCGACTTTGGCGCCCACACAGGGGACAACGGCGCTTTCGGCTGGTACGCTGACTACCCGGTAAACAACCAGGAGGACACCTCGTACAGGAAGTAGTAGCATTAATTTCAACCCAACATAACCGTTGGCTGCAACTGACAGTCAGCCTCACAATATAGACTCGCCAGCAACTTAGCCAATAAGAGTATGAACAACTTTTGACCATGTTACCAAAGACAGTATTGTTTCAAAGTGATATTAGTTAGAGTAGTGTTAGCGAATTACCGCACATTTGTTTCAGACGGTGAATTGCGCTGTTTTTGCACTTTTTGTTTAGTAACAATTATTTACGGGTCCGGCTTCGAATGATTCTAAACGCCGGCCTTAGTTAAAGTTCCTTTATATTATTAGCTAATAAGACTTTAGAAAGAACACTGTGATATGCACCATGGTAGTTAAAATAAAGAATGGCATTGCTTCCTCTTCATTCTTTCTACTCTTCTCTACATGCTTTCTACTCTTGTCATTCTCATTCTTTCCACTCTTCACCTTGTCAATATTTATTTAATTTTTTTATAATTAAAGTTTTTCTTCGTAATATGTATTACTACACTTCTTTTTCTCTGTGCTAAAATCACCCATCTCTTTTAAACAAACACTTATTCTTACTTCTTTTTAAACATCAAAATTTTTACATAAAACTATATTCTAATCTTCCACCGATTTAGTATATTTTCATCAAGCTTTTCATATATTAAAGTATCATGAAGGTTCATGACGAATGTAATCGACTGATTGATCGAATCAAAGTTATTTCAACTGCAACTGATACCTTTACCTCTTATACTATTTTTTTTTTTTTACGTGGGAAAAATCCTTTATGGATCCCCCGCTGCCTTGTGGGTAGGCAGCAGGGGTATGTGGGAGTTACACGTACCCACTAAAAAAACCCACGTTGCACCTGCGCTATCGCTTTGCCGGGGACACGGGAACACGACAACGCAATCTTCCGCGAACCCCGGCGCGACTGTGGCCTTCTCAGGCCTCCTCTCACCGGGTATTTGGACACCCGGTCCAGCCAAATGGTGCCGTGTCGGTGCAATGAACACGGCACTCCTCTCAAGCCCTCCGCGGGGCAGCAGTTAGTCCCACATCTGCTTCCCCGGGGCTTGCTATCAGGGGGGAAGGTTGCGCGCGTAGGCCAGCCTCCTGCGCCCTGGTCTCCGGCGGCGGATTTCCAGGGTGGCAGTTGCTTCCCTTTCTCTCTCCGCGGCCTCCTTCCGGGTGATTATGTCCTCGCAGAATGCAAGGACGGCACCCCACGACCTCTCGCTGTCCACCATAGCGCGGACCACGGCAGGCAACGAGAGATCGTGCCCCACAATAGCTGTCAACTCTCGGCGCTGCTCCCGCCAGGCTGAGCACTCCTCCAGTGGACCTCTTATACTATACCCCAACTATTCTATTCAATTTTTTTTTCTTTCGTTGAATTTATAACATAACGACCATTAATTTTTTTCGCACTTTTCTTATAATATTTTACTTCATTTCATGTTTTTCTTTTGTCATATATATTACTTGTTTCATAATTCATATAATTTTAATATTTTAATTTTCTTAAAAGATCTTAATCTTTCTACTTCAACTCTTCACTTTCAGCTCTATCATGCTTTCTCATCTATTTCAAATTTCATTACCAAACTTTCAACATCATTCATTTATAAAACTGTTCATTTCATGTTTCAATAAATTGGGAAGAATATCTATCACCATCAATCTAAACTTCATCATCTGCTCCTCTCTATATTTCATATTTATTTACCTTTCTCTAAATAGTTTTCGTCTTCACACTTGAAACTTTCTATCATCATCATTTCTTTCTATTATCAACTACACTATTTTACTATTCTCTTGTGATAGAATATCTGTTATCTTTTCTTATCTGATGTGCGTTAATCTTTTTGTAGGTTGTTTGTTTCATTTCTTATTTCTTTATTTTCTTTATATTCATCACTATATCATTTTAACTTCATCGCCGTATTTCTGTTGCAAGTGCTGTCATATCTTCTTCTTTTCTTAACTAGCTTTTCGTATCTAACTAGTTTCTCATTTCTTATCTTTCACTTTACTCGTAATCAAACACACCTTTGATTTCGATCACGTGTCTATTTTAAATTGCCGTTAGATTACTGCACCTTATTATGATATTAAACATCACGTTCATGGCGAAATTTATTGAATGATATAAATTTCAGAATCGTTAATTTATTCTTCTATAAATATTTTAGTGTTAATGTTCCTTTTATTTCCTTCTATTTCGCTTTTCTGTAGCATTGCCAACTTTATTCACTTTTATCTATTATTATTTATAGCAAAGCATGAGCACAAATATCATTCACGTAACTTTATTCTATTCTGTATCAAGCCATTTTAGATTGTCTACTTTAAACTTTTCTTTTCAAATCCACTTTACTGAAAGGCTTCAATTTCTTTTATTCTTTTCTTCATCATTTCATCTTTTTTGTCATAAAACACACTACTTATTTTTTCATACTATTGATTTTTCATACATGTTTTCATATAAATTACATATTATTCATGAAATAAAATTTAACTGACTCCTTCAAGTCTTTATTCTTCTTTTTTCCTATATCAGTGCTCATACGAAATTATTATTTCATATTTTTATTTAGCTTATTATATTATTTTTTTTTTATATTCCTATAACACTCACTTAATATTTTTAAATATATGTATGTTCAATCTTTTTTATCTACTTATTAAAATAATTTATATATTACTTGCTACTACTCTTCCTTAGTCTTACTTCTTAATCTATTGCTCATATTTCTCTCTCTTTCTATCTCCTTCTCCTCTATTTCTATCTTGCTTATTCATCTTCGCATACTTCTACTTCTATTATACAATCCTCACATTTGCTCTTTTTCATTCTCTCGCTTTTCTTATAGTGCTTTCAACATTTTTTCTCATTTCCACATTTTAATAACTTATACTTTCTAAAATACTTACCGAAGAAATATAAAAATCACTAGTTGCTTTAAAAATTAAAATACAAACTCACATCGGAACCAAAACGGAGTACATGTAGTTTAGTGTTAATCAGTTTTCACATTGCCACAAGCATTTTTATTTTCAGACTACTTTTTAAAATATTACGAATGTTTCTTGCTTCCAAATTTTCCAGTAATATATTTCTTATTTTCACTATCTTTAGCTTTCATCACGTTTCTTCATTTTTATTTGTATCACAATTTCATCATTCACAACATATTTTCCCTTGCATTTCTCATTTTCTTGGTCAATTTATCTATCTTGCCATTATATACCTACTTCTTTATTTGCATTATATTTTTTTAATTTGTTCATTTGTGTTACTTTCATGTTTCCTCTTTCTTACTTGTCTTCAACATTCTTATTCTTCCTAAACCTTCATCATTATTGTTCTTAATGTTCCAATATCTTAATATATATCCTAACTTAATCTTCAATTCATTAATATAATTGTAACCCACTTTTTCGCAACAAATTTCTTTAATTTTCTTTACACATTTCATACAACACTACACGCCCTTTTCTGTAATCATTTCAGACATCTAAAACATTTTCTCACATTTGTACATTTTTAACTTTATTCTTATGGTCCAGTTTTCTTATGTCTCAATAATAGAATTCTGGGATTGACCAAGTTAAGCCAATCGGTGTTCACGCTGACAGAATCAAAGTTTTAACAAGAAACAGACAATTTAATTCTCTATTGTGATTTAGTGAACGACTTAGTAGTTGATAAAAAATCTTAAATTTATGTATTATCTCAGTATCATTTATTCATTCATCATATTATCGTTCTTGTCTTTTGGATTAGTGTTCTTAATCTTAACTTTCTCGTGGAATATTTTTCAGCTTTTGCACTCAATGATTCGTCATGATTCTTCCTTCCTTACTTTCTCTTCAATCTACTTCCTTTCCATTTCATATTTATTAGAATAGTTTTATTCTTTCAATCATTTCCTTCATTTGTTTCTTTTTTTCCTTGCCTTTTTTCGCACTTTTCTGACGGTATTTCTGTTTAGTTTATGTCAAATAAACATCCGCACAGATTAATTTATCAATTGACAAGAACAAATTCTTGAGAGTGATAAAATTTTCTTACGAATTCTGTATTCGTATGATTGTTTTCTTCTCTTATTTCCCCTTTTCATATTTTGTCCCTTTCTTGAAATTGCTTTATCATACTTTATTTTCATTCTTTGTATGGATACGGTTATTTTATGACAGTGCTATTTAAAATGAAATTTATGAATTGTATTTTTTATTCATTAACAATTTATTTTTAACTACCTGGTGCTTTTAGATCAAATTACGCGAATGCACATTTGTTTTTGTTATTGTTAATAAAATATTGTTACCAATTTTTGTGTTATCATTTTTCCAACTTCATAAAACATTTGTGATGTGGAAGACAAAACTTCATAATTCTTCCGGAAATAAACTGCAAATGACAATTTTTTTACGTGGCAATCAAACCTAAAGGTTTTGTTTTGTAAGTTTTCATTTGAATTTCAAGCTTGGGAGATGGGGCAAATAATTCTAAAATACTTCTAAGAACAGGATAATACCATTTATTAAACAATCCTTTTTAAATTAGCCACGAATGAAACCATAACTATGTGGATTCCTGAAAGAAATCTAGGAGCTTTCTGAAATTTCATCCTTTATTATTTATACAGTTAACAAATATCATACACTGGTATTTAAAATATAATTCTTTCGATTCCCACAACAGAAGTGCCACAGTAAATGAGAGCAGCGTAACTACAATTCTATTCAGTATATGCTTACATTACCATAATATTCATACAATTTACGTTAATATACTTTTTAGGATATTACAAGGAATGTTGATACGACAACAATAGGTTAGAACAATACAGCGAAACTACAGTCAGTGAATACAAATGTAAAATTCATACGACAGCAATACATTTCAGGGTTTTAGTAGAAAGATAAACCATAACGTGCCGCGTGACCCGCCAAATGTTTGGCACATTACATTGAACACTATTTCTTTTTACTTTGATAGGCCATACTGAAAGGCCAATATATTTACCGCTCTTTATTTCAAGGGGAACATAATTAGAGTTACCATTTATACCAAACATGCTCAGATCTTAGGAAAAATATAATGGCTACATCTTAAATAGTATGCGTGTTGCGCATATCAGTATATGAAATATTTTCGTTTTTTATTTACATACATGAATTGAGTTAATTAAGAGATGTTTCCGCGTGTATAGTTCAGTTTTTATCGAGGTGAGACAATAATAGTTAATCATTTTCTCGAGCCACCTTTTCAAATTCAAATAAATATAGTGGGTTCAAACGATCCAGGGGTTTTCAACATTTCAAGAGTGACGTCAAGCATCCCACGCAATACTGATATATATATACATTTATTCGGAACTTCATGATTATGATGCCCTGGTAAAAATTCCTTATCAGAAACAAGTTACATTAAATCTTAATTAGTATAATTTCAATAAAAGGGACTATTTCCAGAAATCTCAAAAAAACGATCAAAAGCTTAGCGGGTAAATAAATTATGTTCGTTAATTAGAATTAGGTACATAACATATCACTCATTAGCAAAAAAAAATCACAGGAAAAACTTGTAAAGAAGTAATAAAATAATTATTTCGAGATCATAACCGGTCACTGTATACATATTTTCGAGATTCAAAATTCTCACAATACAAATCCAAAAAGTCACTTTCTAAACCACGCAAAATAGACGGAAAGTGTAGAGGTAACGGATTCATGAATCTCATAAACAATTTTTTCATTCACAAAAAAGGTTTTGAGGCATTATTTATATCCTTCAACAATTTTCCAAGTCTTTGTGCCATTTTTCTACACCGTGTTATAATCAAGTAACCCTATCTCTTAATAAAAGCTAAGCCTAGAAACAAGTATATAAATGCAAAAGGGGTGTCTACAATCTACGTTATGCCATTTTATGACGTGAATACAGCATGATATAATTAAATATAAGTGCGAGTCGAATACGTAATACAAAAAAGAAGCAGTTAAGATAGGGTACTCAAATATAACTCGCATACTCTATTAAGATACATTACGTACATATCCTAATAAGACACTGACCCACTTTACACCCTATTTCAAGTCGACACCTGTCGATTTCGCAACACACAATCAGTAATTTCATATACGTTTAACATAAAGCGTAAACAAATCATATATTTTTCTAACAAATAAATATTGTAAATATAGTAACTCACTAATGAATAAGCCTCCAAAATCACAGAAAAACCATTCGTATAGAATAACAAAGATACAGACAATCAATGACATCTAATTTATGTTTAATATTATTCTTACAATAGGCAAAGGCATTTACGCCATACTGCATAAGTTTAAAAAAAACTGGCATCTACTATTCCTACGAATATTACGAAATAGATGTTCTTACTAATAAAGTAATTAATAAACGCTTTGCCTGCACAAAATAAATCGAGTCTATAAATCTTTACAATCTTCAGTTTTCACGAAACCACACCCAATCCTCAAGGTGAGCAGTAATGGATCTTTGGTAAAATGAACTATTTACGCACTGCTAGAAACACCATTATTACACGGACATTACACATTAAAAACCAGTACATAAATTCTAACAGTAACACTATACACCAAATACTTAGCTTAACTTATATGATATGCTTTAGGTCTTGCAAATGTCTTGAGTAAAATGATAACAACGTATCCAAGTTATCTTGGTTCACATTGAACACTAGACATTCATTCAAGTAATGTTTATGTTGTCGGTATTATCCGGTATTTCGTTTTAAGCCATTAACATTAAGTAAGTTAAGTCAAAGTTATCCGTAATAATTATTAACTTAAGTGAGAATAATTATTAAGATAGAAATTAACACACCAAAGTTAATTACAACACAACAACTAACACATAACATCCGTGATATAGCGAAGAATTAATATTATCATTTTCTACAACTTTACGCCTTCTCAAATGATCATCAACAATATTAAGCGATAAATTCTACACTTATAGAATTTATTTACTATAATTGAATATCTGGGAAAATTGTACAAATTTTAGTTTTTATTTCTCAATAAAAATACTAAAAAACGAAACTTGTTTCCTGAAGCGAATGAAAAATATTTGTAAAAATATAGTTCCAAAAGGTTAACGGTATTTCTTGAACAAAATGAAAACTAGTAGAGCACCATATATTAGAAGAGTCTGAGCAATAACTACACTAAGAAGTACGAATATCTACAGATATATTTTACAATTAAACGAATAAAGTACCGGCTATATTATTCGAGGCTACATTCACAAAAATACATCTATCCCGTTTACTCCCTATAAACCTTTATATTTAAGCGAATATGGAGGAAAGAGAAGTCTGCAAATTCAGCAATTCACTTAGGCATACACTTATACATACAGCCTATGTATATAATTAGCCTGTTAAAAAGTTTTGTAACAGTGAACACACATTAAGTGAATATTATCATGTCAAACTAGGCGAAGAACGGGACAGCAAATGAGTAAATACGACTGCTCCGCTCTTGCACAGAAAACTTAATTTTGTAACGAGAACTTATACATCTATCCATTCATGCTTAATTGATATATATATATATAGAATTTTAATAAGACTATTATATATTCAAAACATTATGTTCAGTCAGACATGACTCATTGATTAATTACTTTTTGTATATGGTTTAATAATAAAAGGTTCCATTAAATTGTGTAACATATAGATTAAATAATACCCTAAGTTTAATTGAAAGTCCTTAATAGTTACAGTCTAGTTTTCATAGTCGAATAACGATTCGTTTAGGTTTTTTTTCTTCATTATTCAATGCCATTTTGCAATCATATTACTCTAACACATTTAATAAATTGTTAACTTTAAAAGGTAATAACTCTATATTATGATGTACATAGAAATCTACGAGTTTATAACTAAATGTAACATGATTGCTGTAGGACGTTGGAGTCAATGTATTTAAAGAGTTGCATGTGTATAGAAAATCTCAAAAATATGTTTTTAACACTGTTCATAAGTTTGCTCAACATGATTTTGTATATACAACGTATTAGAGGTATTTTCTTCAATTCCCTCGATTTATTAAGATATATAAGCAATAACAATAGATTTCTCTCTGCTATATTAAACAACCATATGAGAATGCAAGATCAATGTCTAGCTGAAAAAACCTATCCGTACTTATCGATATTTAGATATGAATTTTTATTTGTAATCATAAAATTAATTGACCCCAACGTTCCATCGAGCTGGATTTTATAATCTCCGTTAGTTCGGCCACTACATTAACAATATACACATGGTCACACACAAGAAATACATACAATACAAACAGTTATATAGCGATATATCGATCGCATTAAAATGAAATTTGGGGCAGTAGCATTGAATATTCCAATCACAGTTTATCGGACATTTGCCGTCTCGCATCACAACTCAGTTGGCCACTGAACGTGACGATCAAAGAAGAGAAACTGAGGCTCAGTGGGTCACTGAACGTCGCGATCAAAGAGGTTGAAGCTCAGTGGGCCACTGAACGTCGCGATCAAAGAGGCCGGAGCTCAGTGGGCCACTGAACGTCGCGTTCAAAGAGGCCGGAGCTCAGTGGGCCACTGAACGTCGAGGTCAAAGAAGAGAGACTGTAGCTCAGTTGGGCACAGAACATCGCAATTAAAGAAGAAGAGAAACTGGGGCTCAGTGGGTCACTGAACGTCGCGATCAAAGAGGTTGAAGCTCAGTGGGCCACTGAACGTCGCGATCAAAGAAGCCGGAGCTCAGTGGGCCACTGAACGTCGCGATCAGAGGCCGGAGCTCAGTGGGCCACTGAACGTCGCGATCAGAGGCCGGAGCTCAGTGGGCCACTGAACGTCGCGATCAGAGGCCGGAGCTCAGTGGGCCACTGAACGTCGCGGTGAAAGAAGAGAGACTGGGGCTCAGTTCGCCCAGGCCATCACGACCTTGGAGAAGGGCACGAACAGGGCGGCGTGGTTGGCCGTCGCCAGGAAGTACCTCCGGCCGCGGTAGGTGCCGTCGTTGCGCGCCATCGCGGGGTACTCGGCGAGCGGGAACTCCGCGCCGACCACCACGCCGCTGTTGGCCGCGCTGCCGCCCGCTATGCCCACGTACCTGGCCCGCATAGAACGTCCCGCATCACCTTCGCGGTCATCGGATGGCGAGAGAACTTACATTTATACCACCAGTTAGAACTGTCGTGGACCCACGCAGGTCACGCAGGTACAAGAATTGTGTAATGTACAAATTTCAATACATTAACTACTCTCCTGGTGGTTTGAAAACCGGCATCTACATCTTTAAAGATTAGTAACCTCATGGATCTTGTGAACGTCTTTTTAACAGCAGGTGACTTGTCTGCCACCAGCTCATTTGCCGACTTGTGTCAAAAAAATCTCAGATGCTACTTTTTTTCCCGCCTCTTTGTCTTTAATCCGCCTTCATGTATCTTTAAACTTTACATTTCACGTGATGTCGGTACACAGATTTGTGCAATCCACAAAAGCTGTTTAAATTTATTTAAAAAAAAAATTTGAATCCTACATTCCTTCTCTGTAATAAACTATAAATCTGGGAAATTACATACTCCTTCGTCCGCGCTATTCTCGTATTAACATACACATTATCAAAATCGCTCTACGAGCGCTTTCGGGTGTGGTGAGACATACCTCACCCTCCCCACGGCGATGCACCCCCGGGGGGTGATGAGCTTGACCGCATGGCCCAGCCGCAGCTGGCGCGCCTCGGCGGGCACGTATGGCTGCCCGGGGCACTCTCTATCGGCTGACCACGCAAAATCAAGAGATAAAAGACCACCGTATCGATTTCTCGATTTCACGCGAATATAATACATATTGAATCAAATCTTTTTTCTTTTTTTTTTTCTTTTTCTCTTTTTTCAAAACATTGCCCTTACTTTAGGATAACATTATCCTGTGTTGTAAAGACGTTTTACATACATAAATTTCACGTGGACAAACACCCAGATGCGAAACAACTATCTGTGGGTCGCACAAATAGTTGTCCCGTGTGGGAATCGAACCCACGAACCCCGACGCCGAAGCCAATACCTTGGCAACTGCGCCACGGAGTCATCAAAAATCAAATCATTTATTCATCGAAATAAGAAATATACATTTCATATATCGGTAGTCATTTTTTAAATCTACCACCGTATCGTAATGAGGTTCCTCTAACGGAGAAGAAACAGGTGAAAGTAACTCCGTAGGTATCCTCTTTTTTGTAATTTTTTTTCTCAAACAAATACATTGTTATACAATTTTTTATTTTATTTATAAACAGCTTAAGAGCGATCGTCTAATTCCCAGGGGTTGTTATCGTTCATGTATTCATTTATATTATAATAATCCTTTTTAAAAAGTTTTTCTTTAATAAATTTCTTAAGCCTGTTAACAGAATGAAACCATTTTACACATATTCTCGCTTTTCAATTTTGTTTCCGTTCAAAATTTTTTTTGTCTGTTTGACACTACGTTATCTAGAAAACGTAGAGTAAAAATATGCCCTTTAATATTTATTTATTTACAACTAGTAGGATAAGGAAAGATTAAGGAATCAACTGTCCAAGATCAAGATGACATTTTCTCGTATTCAAATCAACTTTTTTTTTTTTAGGCTCGTGAAATATGTACTTAAGCTATTATTAATGTACAATATAAAAATTTCAAAGTTCTGTAAGCAATAGTCTTTGAATTCTTGCGCGGTAGTTCGGTCCTTGTCGTTTTAAGTGACGCAGAAATTTCTTTACCAGCCCGTATTCTTGAACGGACTTTGCCTAGTTTATAGACCGTAGGTATAAATTAATAACGCGATGCATATTGATACGAATGTACAGACCGCCGTTTTATTCAAATAGACCTTAACCCTTTGGCAATTGGGTCGCTATTGGTACGTACGTTCCGTACAGCCGTAGGCGAGGTTTTCAATGGAACGGTTCTGGATGAAGTCTACTTCGTAGAGAAGCTGGTCCATGTCTTCATGTCGCACGTCCGGCAAGGAGCCGCGCCAAGGCCGCCTGCCGATTCCCGCTGCCAAACAAATCACAATAATAATAAGTACAATTTATTTATTAATTTTAATCATCACCATCGTCATTTCAGCCTGTTTGAGTCCACTGCTGAACATAGGCCTCCCCCACAGACTGCCACGATCCTGAGCCAGCTGCATCCATCGACTTCCCGCACATTTGCATAGGTCGTCGCTCCATCTCGTGGGTGGTCGTCATTATAATTATACGAGTAAGTATTATATATTTTAGTTTATTTTGTCATTGTCAAGTAAGTTTATAAGGCACACCACCTCCCACTAAAACAATATAAAAAAATGCTTTGTTTTTATTATATTATTTGTTACTGCTACTCTTTACAACCTTATTCTTACGTGTAATGCTAATATTACACGTAAGAATAAGATTACATACTATTTTAATTAATCCTTGTTACACCTAATTGTGGTCTCTAAGTAAATCGATGATTGGTTTAATTATCTGTAGCAGCTTTTCTCTCGACAAAGTCCACCTCCAAGCACTTTCATGTAGCTCGATCTCTGGCTATTTGGTTCCACTTAGGGCCCAATTTTTGAATTTTGTCTTGTTTTTTATTATTTCTAATTTCATTCTATCACTTCTTCTTAGGCAAAGAACATCCCACTATTCATGTTTAATTTTCCTTGTCCTAAGGTTGTCTGAAAGAGATCGCTGTTTAGCGATAATTCGTTTCTTTTGTAAATAAATAGATACTATACATATATCATCACACAATATTTTTCTAGCAGTGAATCGAACCCTCAAACTCTGGCGCAAGAGTCAGGTTCACTACCCACTACGCCAATCGGGTCATCAATATATACCTACAAATACGAATATCTTTATTCAATACAGAAGCATTACACTTACTTATTGATTGTCAAAAAACACTTCTATCAATAACCATCAATTTAATTTTTAATTCCGTCTGGTTGGGTCCTATTTATATATACATATATATATTATATACAATATTTATATCTATATGTTTATTCTTTTATCTATAAACCCAACCATACGAGAAAACAAATGAATATCCGCATCATAATTACGGTTGGTTAATTAAAATAGTAAAGGATAAATTAGTAGTACCTTTTGTCGGCTGAATTTGATTGTAATTCCACTGCGGAACATACACATCTTGGGGTGTCCACTCGTTGCTCCTTTCGATGCTGTGACACGGCGATTGGAACATCGAGGGGGAAATCCACCTGGTGGATAAAATTATGAGGACACTGATACAGCAATGGTATAATGTTCGGACACATTTTTACACAACGTACCCTAGTCCCAAGCTAAGCAACGCTTGTACTATGGGTACTAGATAACTGGTAAACACACTTATACATAATTTTCTTTTGTAAATAAATACATTTTATACATATACAGCGTGTCGTTACCATCGCGACAATAAATGAACACACGTCTAACGCTACTTGCCAATAGTCATAAAAAATTATTAACGTTAAACAAAACAAAATCCATAATTAATAAAAATATTTTTCAAACAAACTAATTAAGTAAAAAAGAAACAAAATTTGTAACATCCTATACAACTCGCGTCACAGCGCCGCATTACAAGCCTCTCCTTCTAACAGTATGTTTTGTCTCTTTTAAATTCATTCAACCCTTTGTGAGCCCCTCTGCTTTGTGAGCTTTACAAATGAACTTTACGTTACAGTTTTATACGTAAGGGTGTTCTAAAATTATTTGTTTTGGAAAATTTAATAACTCTGTAAATATTGATGTTTAACGAAAGATACGTATTCGGCCGTTGGGTAGGAGTTTTTAAAAGGCTATTTTGTCCTTTACTATATTTAATAGCCAAGAAATACAAAGTATACTTAAAATTAACTTATTCTAAATGGAACGACCTCCCGCTACGGCGATTGAGCGAGATCAGTTGGTCGATACAGGTTTGATTGTCCCACAATACCTGAATTTAAACCGTCATCACTTTCACGGGAATAACGTACAATGCATCGCATAATTCATGTGAACTTTCGTAATCACTGGGCACTTCGCTGTAGGTCGATTTCGGCCTGTGTACGGGGTACTTAGGTATATGTGAATATGCATAGGTAACACGAATGTTAATGTTTAATACAATTTTAAAAAGTTATCCCCTATATGTGTGTTCATTTATTGTCGCGATTGTAAAGACACGCTGTATAAACACCAAGACACTGGAAAAACACTATGTTCATCACACAATATTCTTTCGAGTAGTGGGGATCGAACCCACACTCTTTGGCTCCAGCGCCACTGGCAGGTACACTACCAAATACGCCATTCGGGTCGTCAATGTCGTGTATGTGGGGAAGACTGAAAATGGTACATATTCTACATCTTACGTGGTAGTTTATTTTATTCATGGACGTGAGTTTTCAGGTTCGGTTTCAAGTAAAAGTAAAAGTAAAGTGTTTGCCCAATAATGGGACAAATATAGACTATAAGTGTCCCACTGCTGGGCAAAGGCACAAACTGTACAGAGGGTATTGGGGCGTAGTCCACCACGTGACCCCACCGGGCAGACGTATCTTCGAAATATCTTTTTTGTTGCAACAGCCCTTCGTACTGGTACTTTTTGGTAAATAAAGTAATTTCTCTCTTTCTTTCTTACTGCTGCCAGTCCGTGTCGCCTTTTACGACAGGCAGGGGATACCCTAGCCCTATTCTATTAGCCGAAGACTACAGGGTAGGTAGTCGATACCTTAGCCCTATTCTATGAGCCGGAGACTACGGGGCAAAAAAATCTTAAGGCCTGGAAAGGAAAGAATATAAAGGTCAACGAACCGTGGTATAGGTGAGTCGGGTGCAGCTGCCTTGCGCAGATTCCACAGCGGCTCTTCCGAACGCGATAGCTCCGGCACCATTGACGTGAAACCTAGAAGAGTATTTTTACCCAATCGAAAACTAGGCACGAGCGAAAATGTCACTTCGTGGACGAAGAACACCTAAAATATACGCTACTTATAGAAGATAAATAAGTGCAGTCGTAAACTTTCTCGTTTCGAACCTTCGTCCTCCGGGCGATACGTTTAGACGTTTTAGTTAGTATAGACTTTTAGTTAGCTAAGTGGCCATCATTGTACTAAAAATTTAACGACAATAATTTATCTACAAAAATTTTAAAAGATTTTCTTTTTCGTCTTGAGTGCAGACTAGAAATAGAAAATGTAGGCTAACCAAATGCGATATAAAATACGAGACAGTAAGAGATCTTTGATAGATCGTAAATCTTGTTTTCGCCTAACTAAATAATCATTAAAAAGGAAGTATAAATACCCGTTACTTACTTGGAACATTAGAATGTGAGAAAGCAATATTATGTTAAATGTATGTATATGTGTAGTATGTGTGTAAGGAATTTGTATTGTAGTGAAAGATTAAAAAAAAAGGTTAATATAAAAAAATTATGTCCATGTGTAATAATAGAATGAACCAGACTGAGCTTTTCCGACTGTTTTTTCTTATAATGAATATAAATATAATACAATTACTTGTTTTGTTTTTAATTTAGTTAATTAGAATAACTCTACATAAAATTCTGCTAAAATTTGTGGACATGCGTGCATTAACACAACGTGGAAAAATCTGGAAAAAAAAAACAATAACATTTATCGTAGTAGTACAAATAATAAAACCTCTTTAATCTTAAAATAACTTCTTTGAAAAGAAAAAGTATACAACAAAGAAAAGTCGCCGAATAACCAATTTTTTTTTTACTAATGAAAAACAAAACCGTCTTCAAACATCTCGCTCTTTATTCATTTTATAACTGGTTTTCAGGATTTCCCTAAGTATCTCCGGAGACCAAGATCCAATACCAATGAAATTAACATGGGACCACATGTGAAGCACCAGCTTTCAAATAAAAAAAGAATCATCAAAATCGGTTTAATCAGTCTAAAGTTTAACGGTGGTGGGCCACGCGGCAGCCTCGGCTGTTGCACGAATGGGCAGGCCCGTCCGGGTAAGTACCAAGACCTCACAGAAGACTGGCGTAAAGTGGAAGTGTAATATTTTCGCGTTTCATCTGTTGAGTGAGGTGGCCGGAGCCCAATTTTCAAAAGGTTGTCAACGCATCTGCAACCCTCGGGTGTAGCAGATGTCCATGGGCGGCGGTATTCACTCGAGCCGTGAGGTGAACCGTCTGCTCGTTTGGCAACATTTCACATAATAAAAAAAAAACTTCTGAGGTAACAAACATAAAAGAAAAATACAGTTAAATCGAGAATCTTTTGAAGTCGGCTAAAAAGACAGAATGCGGCATGCAACGCGCGGTTCACACCGCTTACGACCGCACGCATTAGGGGAGAACATCATGTGGCCACGATCTCAAGCAATGAGGGACCAAGCAAGAGATAGATAGAGAGAGAGAGAGAGAGAGAGAGAGAGAGAGAGAGAGAGAGAGAGAGAGAGAGAGAGAGAGAGAGAGAGAGAGAGAGAGAGAGAGAGAGGGAGCAGAGAGAGAGAGAGAGGGAGAGAGAGAGAGAGAGAGAGAGAAAGAGAGGCACCGATGTCGCTGAGCAGGGCGCGGCGCGCCTCGCCGATCCTGAGCGCCGTCTGGGGCCGCGCCTCGGGCACGGCGAGGCGGCGGCACGGCGAAGGGCGGTACGACACCGCGGCCAGGCGGTGCATGTTCAGCGACGAGCCCTGTACACCGACACGACAGTTAAGGTCTTGTGCGTACATTCCACGACAGTTAAGTGTATGTACTTAATCGACGTACGGCCGGTTTCAATATCATGTCCGCAGCTGGTTTGGCTACTAGCGATAGGTATTGTAAAAATGTGTCCGGAAATAAATATATTTATTACTTAATGGTCGTGATAGCAGTGATAACTCATTGTCGCTTTTAATTCAATATACTAGAGCAACCTGTGTTCAATCCCCGGTGCTGAAATGAAATTGTCAATTTTAAGTGCTGAATTAATCACGTGCTCAGCGGTGAAAGAAAACCTGCATATTTTCAAAATAATAACAATTTTTTTTTGAAGATATGTGATGCCCGCCTATCCGCCGTGGGGCCGCGTGGTAGACTATGCCCTGATATTCTGTACAGAGGAGGCCTTTTTGCATTGGGATTATAGGGTGTTATAGTTGGTAATTATTTAATGGTGACTTTGCCTTGTGGGCGAGGTAGCCGTCAGAGGTCCATCTGGGCGGGAGGGCGGACATGTCGGTCTGGGCGGCGCTCTCGCGTCTGGGCGCTCCGCCCTCGCGGAGCACCGGCCGCCGAGACGAGACCAAGCCGGGGCTCCCCATACCCGTAGCCCTGCCAGTACGTTCCGCCCCGCGGTAGGGCAGCGGCCTGCCGTGAAGGTGGCAAGTGAGGTGATGGTTGCTTTTAATACCTTATTTTGACTACTCGATAAAAATATTTGATGCAACGAATAGTCTATAGCTTAGCTAGAGGGTGCGGTTTAAATGTGTAATAAAAAGAAAATGTTAATAAAATGATTCAAATTCACTTGTTTGAACATTCACCGAAATATAAAATTAAGTGTGGTAAGCACATATTTATTACCTTAATGTCAAATTATTTACACTGACCGCAATATCCTGAGATATATTATATTTGTCGAAATCTAATATTTTGGGACCCAAATCCAGACTCATCCAGTCATCGTTTCGTAATGTTAAAAGTTAATTAAGTTTTATAAAAACGCAAAATGTATACGCGAAAGATACTACAAAAAAATCATTTACAACGCTGTTGCTAAGCGATATAATTCCGCGTCGCGAGGTGTAGATTCAATTCCCTACCGGGACAAGTATGTGTACGAAGTAGAGATAACTATTCAGGGATTACTTGTTCGCCCTCATGCAATTTACCTACAAAAGAGTCTAACAATTAAAATACTGAAAATAAAAAAGGAGACCGACTTTTTCATGGTACGCGTTGATGTCTTTTTGAAGAGTCTCTCTTTACCTACATTTAATTCTACATGGTTCCGTAGAATTTGTTTCCATAAAAGCGCAAACAACAATGTTTATAGGGAATAATATTTATACAAAAAAGGCGAATTCAAAAATAATGTAGTCCAAAGCTGTACATAAAATCCTATAGAACTAGACGAATTACTTCGTGTGTTTACGCCAATTGTAATGTTGTTATAAGTACATTAACTGTGGCCAATCGCTTCGCTGTTGCGGGAATGCACGGGTCCGTCCGAGTAAGTTTCATAGCCTCACAGAAGATCGGCGAGAACTGGAAGTGTTATACATCCATATTTCGTCTGGTCAATGAGGTAGCCAGAGCCAACTTTATTAAAAGGTGGTAGCCCTACAGGTGTTGCAAATGTCAATGGGCGGATGTTATGACATCAGGTGAACAATTAGGTTGCTTGTCACCATTTCACTTTAAAATAAAACTAAAAAGATCTTCTGCGAGAACCGATAAACCAGAGAACCATAGAACCATAAAAACACCATACAAAAAAAGGAACAAAATACCTGTACTGAAAGGCATTGGGGCAGGTGTTGCGCCGGTTGGCGAAGTTACTCGTCAGGTCGTCCTCCGATATCCCGCACTTGGAAATGTCCGTCTCCACGTACACCGAGTACCTGTGCCCCGGGCGGCCGGGCCTGTGCACGCTGTCCACACTCTCGCCTCTGTGCAGGACGTCCATGCTCGAGTCCAGCTCGAAGCTCGAGGACTTGGTCCTGTCGAGGCTCAGGCCCCTGTGGTACACGGAGGGCAGGCTGTCCACGCTGTCCAGGCACGCCGCGCTGGCGTGGGGGCTCTTTCTGTACAGAGCGTTGTCGGACCTGTTGTCGCAGCTCCTCAGTATGCCCCTGCCGGGGAGGTCCAGGCTTTTGCCCTTGAAGGCCACATGCCTCATCTCCCTGTCGTTCGGCAGCGAGACCCGCTTCTGCTTCAGGCCCGTGTTGCCAGCCCTAAGACGGCCGCTCCCGTGTCCGGCCGCGCCCTCACCCGGCTGGAAGTCCGGATCGAGGGTGTGGAACTTGATCAGGACCGGCGTGGAGTTGACGGTGGACGCGGAGCTCGGGGCCCATTGCTCCGTCTCCCTGATGGACACCAGATCCTCCTGCGAAGGGTGAAGACGTCGATTAAAAGCGGCCCGATCGTATCACACGTCGTATACAGCACATGTGTACATTACTAAGACATCGATTTAGTACGGACTTGGATTTTCAATGGTACATAACTGTAAGTTCGATTTTTATCATTTAGTTTTTGAAGGTGCGCCGCAGTGCATATTAGATTATCAATGAAAAAAGGAAAAAAAAAAAACAAGAATTAATGAAAATAGAGCAACGTTCCCCCGCGGTTCCTCATTTATTCCTCCATTGATTATATTGTACCTTTTTACGTGGGAGAAATCTTTTGTGGATCCCCCCCCCCCCCCCCCCTCCTTTCTTCTTAATTTCTTTCTTCTTGTGCGCAGGCTACAGGAGTATGTGGTAGTTCGCCTGAATCGAGGATACCCCCTAAAGAATTACCCACGTTATACCCGCGTAGTCGCTTTCGTCGGGGACAGGGGAACACGAGAACATAATACTCCTCGAAATCCGGCGCGACTGTGGCCTTCTCAGTCTTCCACTCACCATTATCATTATCATCAACCTTAGTGCGGTCGGCTCAACACGTTAATCATGTTTTAATCGGTTTTTTGCTATGATTTTTACCACCGGCAGCCTGCCCAAAATCAACCCTCCTTACGTAACAAACGCCCAGAACCGGAACGATCATCTGTGGGTCGCACAAATACATGTCCCGTGTGGGAATCGAACCCACGACCCCCGACACCTGAGCCGTAGCTTAGCAACTATGCCGCCGAGTTTCTCACGCCTCCACTCTCCGGACGACATTGTGAGTACCTGCAAATTGCTCATGTCCCTCGACTCGTCCGTCGTGAATATGAGCTCGATGTCGTCCACTTCGGATTCGTTGCCGCTTGCATTGTCTGTCTCGGTGGGGCCGCCGCCCCCCTGCAACGGCGAGTTGTCGCCTTCGGAGAATACCGAATTGTCACCTTCCGAAAGGGACCTGCAATAGGCGGATTTCTATTGAAACAGTCCCGCTACCGAATATGTCGTTACGTGAAACTTATTATTAAATATTATTTGGACGACCCAATTGGCGAAGTGGATAGTGACCCTGTCTCTTGCGCAAAATGATGTGGGTTTTATCCACACTACTTGAAAAATATTGTATAACATGGTGTTTTTCTATAGTCTGGGTGTTTATATATCTATAATGTCACACACACACACATGTAATGTTTTTTACATAAGAAAATTACGTTGAAGTATGTTTATCGGTTACATAGTATCCATAGTACAAGCTTTTCTTTGTTTGGGACTAAACAAGGTAAAAATATGTCCCGAAATATTATTAAATAGATTTATCAAACAGTAAGTATATTTTACTTAAAAACAAGATGTCATTCGGCACTACTGCCATAATAGGCCAATTTTGAATCTCTTCAAATGCTACCAATGGAAGCAACTTTATCTTTGCATACATGACCTTTGATGCAATAATTAATGATCACATTATTTCTAAAAAAATAAGTCTGATTGATGTCATTATTATATATGTATTCATATTATATACAAATTTTGAAGTAACATACACAAGTATGTTGTCACTTCACACTTACTTCTAACATACTCTGACATCTAACAGAAAGAATCAGACAGTGTAGTATTTTATTTATTATTCTTTATTTTAATGCACATTTTAAACTTAGTGGAACTCATCATAATTATGTAATTCCTTTACAGGATACAATTTTAGGTTGACAATAGCAATTACCGTACCAAGTTAAAGTACTTAAAAAAAAAAGTTGCTTAATACGATAAAGAAATTAAATGATTAGATTATTCTTACATTATATATAAAATCAAACTTATTCAGTAGCCACAAAGTTACAAAACACATCGAGAAAAATAAAGACATTTTTGTAAATAAATAAGTTACAAAAAATAAACTTAAAGCTGTTTAAATTCATAATCACAATAGATCAAAGGCATTGTCAGTGTCAAACCATCAAACATTTAAGAGAATGAAAATGAAACCTATTTTATCAACTAGAGACTCACTTAGACATTACTATACTTAATGATTTAGCTTTCTCCAAACCATGTAACACAGAGAAGGAAGTAATTATAAATATTGATCAAACACTATTTTTGCTGTATTGCTCATCACTTACTGGTCCAAAGTACCACAAAAATATCAAGGTAACTATGAATCAGATTGTAAAAAACTAACCACAAAAAAGGCAAACTAGCAAAGAACTGTTCAAACCTATTAAAATGTAATGTAACTAATAATTTAACATAGTCTATGATGTACCCATGTTTCATGTTATTGGCTGAAAATTCTATAATTCATTTTTTTTAACATATCATAAACAATTAGAAAAGTTTTTATTAAAAAAATAATAAAAATATGAAATCACCATGATATAGGTTTGTCATAAATTGGTTGTTTTTAATCATGCATATTAAGTAAATAAGAAATGTAACAGCTTATATAATATGTCCCACTGCTGGGTAACAGGCCTCCTCTATACAAAGATTATTAGAGCATAATCCATCACGCTACCCTACTGCAGATTGGCAGACTGCACATATCTTTAAATTTTTTTTTTTGTTATTATTATGAAAATATGCAGGCTTCATCAAAATGTTTACCTTCACTGCTGAGCATGTGATAAATCAGTATTTGAAAATCAACAATTTTATTGGTGCTGACACCAGGATTGAACTTTGAAATTACTCGTATATAAGGAATTAAAAGCGAGCATCTGGATATTGAGCTATCACAGCTCATGCATTTGTTAATGAATAATCTATTATTTACTTTAATATTATTTACTTATTAATAAAAAATCTCTTTATCAAACAAGAACTTATATTTAAACTAGAATTTACCTCAGGCTCAAATCATCAACATCCAAATTGAGAGCATCTTTGCCCCTAAAACGTTCAGTGTTTTTAACAATGAGGTTGTCTTCAGACGTTATCCGTACTTGCACATCAAATTTATCACTTTTGGATTTTACTTCTGCTTCATTAGGAACAGCCATTTTAATGTTATCTGATGACACTGTTTTAAGATTAATCTGATTTCCTTCTGAATCTTTAAAATTATCAAAATGCTCTTTTTTCTCTTCAAAATGAAAATCTGCTAATGAATCAACAGTCGCTTTTTTGTGAAAGGTACTGTCTTTTTTTTGCTCTATATTAGAGTCTGTATCAGAGGTAGTACTCGATTGGAGACTGCCTTCTTTCACTGTCTTTACTCTTATTTTGACATCAAATTTAGACAGTAATTCTAATTTGGTTTTATAACTGGCCAAATGTGATTTAAATTCTTCAGTTGCTGTTACTTTGCTTTTTGGGTCTGTTTGAAAAACCTCTGATTGGGATATAAGAGATTCTGTGTTGGAGTTAATAACAGATTTTGAGTTCTCTTCTTGAATGTTTTCTAGATTTTCTTTTAAAAAAACTCTATCATAATCTTTCACTTCTTCAGATTGATCTTCAGCAACCACTGAATTATTAAAGTTAGTTGTGTCTGTCTTTATTAATACCTCACTATCATTCCCTTCCTCAACATTTAATTTGGGACTATATGTAACTTGTAGCTTTATATTTTGTGAGTCCTTGTCATCTAGACCTGAATCAATTATTTTTCTTCTCAAAATGTGATTTTCCACGGTCAATTTCTCAATAACATCTGCGTAATCAAAGCAGTTAGAATGTTGTTCATACTTTTCTTTCAATTCCTTCAATTCATTCTTTGATACTTCTAAAGCAGTCCTCAGGGATACAACAGTTTGATGGAGAGTTCTTACTGTATCCAAATGCGCAGTCCCCGATGGGACCGGCTCCAGTCTCCCACTATCCATTCCACCTTATGGGCTGTTCCTAGTCCAATGTCCAACATCCCATACATGACTACTGATCTTTTTCTAACAATAATTTCCAATTACTGACTTTTCCATCGGCTAACAGACGTCATCACTTTAACAAAATATAAATTACCCTCACAAACGATATCAAGTACTATAGTTCATTGAAAATTAAAACAAACTTACTATATAATCCACTAATTAACAAGTACGTTGAAAAACAGTCGATACACATATTTAGATCCTTATCGAATCTCACAACACATGAAAGACATAACGGCGCAGTAGGCCCAGACTGCAATCGATAAAGCAACCCCTGGGAGGGTCGTTAAGTAAAAACCCTCAAAGTTTGTTGGGAATGACTGCAGCTGGTACGGGCTACTGATAAGCACCAACACGAAAGCTAACAATTAAGTTGAACCATTATCTCCCAATCGTTTTGACAAGGTTGTTGGACGTAATCTGAAAATGTTCCCCTGTTCCCACCTTGTAAACAAATCAATACTTGAATTTGGTGTTCGCGGGTGGCAGAGTAACAAAGAGAGCCGATATTGTCTTCCTTGTCTCAACCTCTGAAATCTGAACTCACGTCAGTCCTCTGTCATTTTGACTTGTATATAGATGCGAAGCGTTCAAAATCTTGAATGAACAATTATTAATTTGTAGAAAAAATGGACGGAAAGCTTTCCGCCGCCACGGGAATTTTAATGTTTCATCTTGAGTGCAGAGATTAGCATTCATTTAGCACTATAAATCTAATCTTCTTCTACTTCCGGCTCGGTCCCTCAACTCTGAAGATCGTGACCACATGTAGTTCTCTTCTACTGCGTTTCGTAGGCGGTTTGAACCCGTTGCACGCTGCCGCCCACCGCGTTCTTCCAAGTGTCATTCCATCATGTCGGTGTGCTGCCTTGAGCACGTCTGCTGTTCATCTTGCCTACAATGATCTGCTTCTCGAGACAGTGCCTTGACGATCGCATAATGTGTCCAAAAAACCTGCCCCGTTCACGGTAAATAGAAGAGTACCACTTCGTGATGTTATGCTCTTTTAATGTTGAGTCGTTGATTCTCATGGCAGTGCAGTGGAAAGCGTACCTTACTTGCACCTGAAATACGACGGTTCTTCCATATCTTTTCGAGTCTAGTCATAGCACATTTGGCCCTACATAAAACTTATATAACATCTAAATTGATTTAATACACTAAGAAACCACAGCAGTCTTATGGAAAAAGATTATTTTCTAACCTACTGTTGCAGAATACCAAAACTATAGACGTTTCACTTTGGGAGTACTTCAAAGCCTATCCTAAACAAAGCTTGACTTAAGCTTTTCATAGTGATACTAACTTCTTATATTGGGACAACACAGCTTTTCCGAAGGTACTTGCCTTCCAAAGCAACCAATTAAGCCTGCCCCTATTCTGGCAGGCTAAGTCAATTCACCTTGTACAGTCAACCGAGTCCTTGTGCGAAGAAGATCATAAAAATTAAATATTTGGGGTCACTCTCGGCTCCAGGCTATCATTTAGAGCTCACATAGAAAACAATATGAACAGAGCCGCGTTCCTGAAAAATACCCGAAGAAACTTCTGATGTTACGTGATCATTTTCGGCAGATAAAAATATGGTTCCTGAGAGCCGAAATTTATTTCAATCCTCTGATGGTAAAAGCGGAAAAATGCCCACCGAAGTAAAACACGTCTGTTCGAAATCTTGATCCATCGGTCAAATGGGCCATAACGGTCAGGGTCACGTTTGGTTACTGATCCTTGATACGACCCGAATTGCCCCCTAAATGATATTCCTGCTCGTTCATAGATGTTATTCGAAGCCTTAAGTACATGTCCAACCAAATGCAAAGGGCGGCATCAAGTTTATAGGATTTGGCTATCCCATGAACTTTTCGTTTGATGAAGCCTTAATAGATTACGAACTGAAAGCAAAAATATCATTCAAAATACAAAATCTGTCAAAGTCAATTTATATGTCATAATACTTTATAATGTCATTATCATGTCACTGTCAGATTTCGATTATAACCTAAACGAAAATTAAGTTTTAATGTAAAATATTTAATCAAAAATGTTTAATGTTATTAAAGCCTATGCAAATTCAACGACAGTGCCTCATTTATTTTTTCAAACCAGACAGAAGACAAAAACACATTGGGTAATTAATTCATTAAGAAATAAAATAAAAAAAAATTGCTTAATCGGCCCAAATTTCCTACATGTAAAATTCAATTTACGCAGGCGAAATTAAGAAAGAAAACTGGTCCAAAATACAAAGCATTAAGCCATTTTGACGACTTTTATGGTTCTGTTTATGGTGAGCAATGGGCTCCAATGAAAGAAGCTTTACTACGCCGATCGAAATATGTAGCGGTTATTAATAATTATGGAGATGCAGAAGAAACTATGAAGTATCTCAGTAATAGAGGTACACAGTGTTTATACATTAAAAAGTTTATATTTTATTTGATTATTAACAGTATGGCTGAACTATTTTCAATGTAATCGTCACTTCAATTTATTGTATGAAAATATTACTTTTCTTTATAGGTGCACATTGCCTCAAGGAATTAATGAAAGTACAACAGGATTTTGAAAAGGAATATTGCCCAACTGCCAATATAGATACACAAATACCACCACAATCAAATACCTTACAAAACTATATATCTAGATTACAGTCTGATGAAGTTTCAGAGCTGTACCCAAAAAGTGAAAATATGCCAGAAAAGATAGATATAAGTGTTAAGGCTACAAATGATAGTATAGAAAATAGAAGCACAAAAGAGGTGTAAGAATTTTTTTTTTCTAGAAATAGTTTGAACCTTAAACTTCATTCCTTTTCTTCTTTACATAAAAAGGTTAATTTATTGATTTGTGAAGTTCAAACTCAATGACTTTTGTTGTGATGTTAAAAGAGATTTCACTTAAAGCAAATTTTTTGTATTAATCACCCTAAAAATAAATTATAATAAACACCATTTAAAGTCCCTAAGTGAGTTGATAAGTTGTAACCTAATCTGTAATTTGATTTTGATGTGATTTCATTGTATGTGTCTTCTTCATCTTTAATTCTTTAAAGAGTCACAAACATTCATTATTTCTTTGCATGATATTTTCTATAACTCTATAAATATGTAATAATATAATTTTTAACTATTCTACCCCTGTTTTTAGTGTAGTTAAAAACAATACTCTCGACCAGGCATTAGAAGAGGCAGAAATTGATCAGTCTCGATTGATTGATCCGTCAATAGGCATTAGCTCTGATGCATTATACCAGTATATACCAGCCACAAAATTGAAAGGAATTGATGAATGGATTCCGGAGTCATTACATTATTCTTATTATACTAGTTGTATGTATCAAATAATTTTCATTTTATTGGATCATCTCAATTCTAAAAAATATTTACTTTTAATGGAGATTATTGCTATGAAATATACTTAATTTAGTTATGAAAAACATTGTTTGAAATACTGAAATTTTTACCAATCACAAAAATCATATAATTTTATTAAATTTTGTGCTGCAAATTTTTTAGGTTTTTTTTTTAAATTAAATAAAAATTTATATATTTATATATATTTTAATGGTATCTTTATTGACTTTACAGCTGATAAGGACTTCCCATTAATTGTAGAACCGGAAACCGAATTTACCTTTCCAGAGCATTTAAAAGTGTATACATATGAAATGGACAGTGAATGGAGCATGTTTCCAGCGCCAAAGAGATCAAAAACAGGTATACACTGAGAATGATCTATAAAAATGTAAGATAAACATTATACGCAATATAATTTTGTATATTGAAATCTTACTTCACATAATATTTTATATGTTTCCATTTAAACCAAATTGATATTTTTATTATTATCTGCCTGATTGACGATACTTAGATGAGTTGCATTCTCAATTCTTCAAAAATGTGGTAGGTATCAATGATATTTTATACTATAGATTTGTTATATGTTTACAAAATCTGTAATAATACATGATAATTATGAGATCCTGTGAATTTTGTTTTTTAAAACACATGAAGGCATGTTTATTATTGCAAAATTTTGACAACCGCGTCTTACTCGCCTCCCTGCCTACGAGACGAAACGACAAAACTAAAGACGAGACGTCCCATTTGGGACGTTTTGTCTTAGTATAACATATACAGCGTGTCGTTACCATCGCGACAATAAATGAACACACGTCTAACGCTACTTGCTAATAATCATGAAAAAATATGAACGTTAAACAAAATCCATAATTAAAAATTTTTTTTTTCAAACAAACTAATTAAGTAAAAAAGAAACAAAATTTGTAACATCCTATACAACTCGCGCCACAGCGTCGTAATACAAGCCTCTCCTTCTAACAGTATGTTTTGTCTCTTTTAAATTCATTCAATCCATTCATATGCTTTGTGACCTTTACAAATGAACTTTACGTTACGCTTTTATAGGTAAGGCTGTTCCAAAATTCTTTGTTTTGGAAAATTTAATAACTCTGTAAATATTGATGTTTGACGAATGTAAATTTTTACTACAATTTTAAAAATTTATCCTCTACATGTGTGTTCATTTATTGTCGCACACATATAGAGGATAAATTTTTAATTTTTTAATTTTTTTTAGGATAAATTTTTAATATATATATACATATACATATTTAGTGTAATATCATTGTTAGGTATATGTATAAAAATACGTACACAGTTTTTTTCATGCAATGACCTAACAAATGAATAAGTTATGTAAGTTATGTTAATGATTAAGTAATTGCAACTGTCAGTCTGCTTATCGGTGACAGGGTCGACTTCGTTCCACGTTCAGCTGTGTATTGTTGGCTTTCAGGCGTGTTCAACTATTACCCTATGGACTGCAGCAGTGTGCTGGCGGTACTCTCTCTGTGCCTGACGGCGGGCGATCGCGTGCTGGACCTGTGCTCAGCTCCGGGCGGCAAAGCACTAGTCGCGCTGCAGACCCTACTGCCGGACGTGGTCGTCTGCAACGACCCTTCAATATCGCGCTCCAACCGGTGAACTTTTGTTCTGTAGCTTTAGTTTTTTTAGGTTTCTGCACCCAAAGGGTAAACGGGACCCTATTACTAAGACTCCGCTGTCTGTCTGTACGTCAGTCTGTCACCGGGCTGTATCTCATGAACCGTAGACAGTTAGACATTTGTAATTTTTCACAGATGATGTATTTCTGTTGCCACTAAAACAACAAATACTAAAAAAACTCATTAAAAAAATATTTAAGTGGGACTTCTATATAACAGACATGATTATTTTGCCGTTTTTATAGATAATGGTTAGGAACCCCTCGTGCGCGAGCTCCCTTTGGGTACGGAACCCTAAGAATGTGTCCGCATATATTTATTTATCATTATTTACGAAGTGTATCTTTAGGACGATATAATTTTTTTAATAAATATTTCAGGACACAGCAGGTATTCCGCGACTATCTGATGGACTTCGAGACGTGCAACAAATGGCGGGAAAGGGTTGTGCTATCCCGCGTTGACGGCCGACTGTTCACCGATGACCAAGGTTTCGATAAGGTTGTTTTGAAGAAAATCTTCCACGTGCGGTTAATTCTATACATAAAGAAGGAAGAGGTTTATTTCACACAACAAAGTCAGCCGTATACAGCATACATTACTCGGTCATAACAATAGTAAAAAAATGGGCATATTTAATAAACCTCCAATATGTATAATTTTACCTTTTAACTAATTGTACGTAGTAGGTCATATTACAAGTCTTTATTTAGTAAGTCTATTTCCTTGAATGTATATGCAAATAGCTGCTGCCTTTGACGTACTAATAATGCCCTAATAATGTAGTAGAATTTAACTAACAATGTAACAGATGGTGAGTATATTTTATCACTACCAGACACGTTTGGACTACAAACATTTGGGTAACCGGCGTCGTTACAGCGTCCCAATCGACCTGATCGAGGAAAAAAAAGAAATAAAAGTCCGACAATACTGCGACCAGATTGGTGTAGTGGATGATGGACCCGTCTCTTGCGCCAGATTGTGTGGGTTCGATCCCTACTACTGGCAAATTACTGTGTGATGAACATAGTGTTTTTCTAGTGTTTGGTTGTTTTATATCGTATTTATTTATAAAAGAAAAGTAAAAGTACCTGGTATCCACAGTACAATCTTTGCTTTATTTATTTACTATAAATACAACTAGTGCTAACGAACAGCACAACGTAGTTTCGCCTACGAGCATGTGTCTCTATTTAGATAAACTCGCCAATTTTAAATGCTAAAGTATCACGTGACGAAGGAAAACATCGTGAGGAAATGTGCATATTTTGGAAATAATGGAAAAAAAATATTTTGATGTTATATGAAGTTCGCCAATCCGCAGTGGGGTCGCGTGGTGGATTATGCCCTAACCCCTCTGTGCAGAAGAGGTCTTTGCCCAGCTGTGGAATTTGTGTGGGCTGTTACTTTACTCTTTTACTCTATCTACGGGCAGGTGTTAGTGGATGTGCCCTGCACGACGGACCGACACTCTGTGAACGAAGACGAGAACAACATATTCAGACCTGACAGAGTCAAAGAGCGGCTCCGGATACCTGAGCTGCAGACTCAGCTTCTAGTGTGAGTTGTTTACGTCGAGTTTCATACTATAGTTTCGGTTAATTAAACTACACTTGGTCACACGACACTTCGTTCACTTTCGGGTTTTATGGGGAGGGTCAGTGGTGACTTTATGTTTCCGTAAGTACGACAGAGAGCGCAACAGTTGGCTTCCTGCTTCCAAATTTAAAAACCTGCGAGTGTTTGGCATGACATTAGTATAGCTCTTAATCACTGCTGACGGTCACCTATATGCGGTGATTTGTTGGTCGGCTATAAGTAAAAACATTTATATGTTTTTGCTTATAGCCGACCTTAGAGTGTTGTAACCAGAATTCCTCGTCCTGTTGTTCGATAACTCGACCGCAAGGCTCGTCCGAAGAAGTACCACGGCCTCACTGAAGAGCAGCGTGAAGTGAAAGTATTATACTTTCACGTTTCGGCTGGTAAGTCAGATAACCGGTTTTTCTCTCGTCTCTCACTTCTTTCTAATATCGCCAAGGCCTCAGCTGTTGCAGACATCGGCGCCCCTGCCTCCCCTGCTCGCTCAACAGCTTCACATAAAAAACATCGGTCAAAGCAATCGAGCCAGTGGTTCTCCTCCGTCCGCAGTAACGCCCTCCGGCTGGTGCGCGTCGGTGGAGCGCTCGTCTACAGCACGTGCTCCCTGAGCCCGGTCCAGAACGACGGCGTGCTCCACACGGCGCTCAAGCAGGCGTTCGAGGCGCACCAGATCGTCGCCGCAGTCAGGTAACACCTTTACCTAGATCGGAAAAGGTTGGCCACCTCTGTGTCTGCAACAGCACAGAGGTGGCCAACGTTTTCGGATCAAGCTTTTATTACGTCTCTAATTAGATTTGAACGTTTCCGCTGAATCTGTATCGCAATATATTGCATTTTAATTTGTATTTTGTAAGTGGGCTCCGGCTACCTATCTCGCCAGACGAAACGAGTTACCTAGTGTAATAGGTCCGACTTAACAACGATGCTTTGCGAGGTCGGTACTGCGTCCCGGATGAGCGTCCGTCCAGCAACAGCAGAAAATGCTGCATCACCATTTGTAACGATGATGATTTTTTTCTCATCTAAGTTACACCTTAAATAACAAAAGCGTCTCAGTTTTAAAATATTCCTTATAGAATGTCATTTAAGGCAGTGTGTTTGCTGTAATGGAAGCACTAGATGTCTACAAGCATATCTAAAAATGAAATTAAAAACAATGTAGATAAGACATTGACATTTTCGAAAGAGGATATCGACCACTCGGCTTAGTAAGGGTTCAGGTTATCGCGTCTTCCAAACCCTTTCAAATCCTTGCAGTGGCGATAAATTCTAGACAATTTAAGGTCAAGTGCTGAGAATAGCACCTCAAGTTCTGAGAATAGCACTAAAAAATTAAGTATTTCCTATCGACAAATTAAAGTGCGACGTCACCCCGTTTCTAGGGACCTGTCGCCCTCGCTGAGGTGCCTGAGCAGCACCCTGCGGCTGGGCGAAGGGCCGGCCAAGCCGCGCTACGGCCAGCTGGTCGTGCCGACGGTCGGCGCCAACTTCGGCCCCGCCTACATCGCCCGACTAGTCCGCCTCAGATAGAAGAACACTACCGGCCTGAGCGTAACACTATCGGCCTGAGCCTAACACTATCAGCCTGAGTCTAACACTATCGGCCTGAGCTTAACACTATCGGCCTGAGTCTAACACTATCGGCCTGAGTCTAACACTATTGGCCTGAGTCTAAAACTATCGGCCGTAGAATAACACTATCGATCTTAAATAAATCGTTATAACTAAGTGTACGCCTTTCACTCATTCGCCTATGACCGTGACAGATCAATATCCGGGCGCTCGCATCCAATGAAATACACTTGACTCGATTCGTATCGAGTCGAGTGTAAATTTTCATTTCACCTGCAAATTTTCGAAATAATGAATAATACCGGCCAAGTGCGAGTCGGACTCGCGCACGAAGAGTTCCGTACCATTCTATAAAAACGGCAAAAATATAATGTCTGTTGTATCGCCCCACTTAAATTTTTTTTTTAGTTGTTTTTAGTATAGCCGCTATATATATGTCGCTATTACAACAAATATATTTTACATTTGTTTTAGTAGCGACAACATAAATACATCATCTGTGAAAATTTCAACGTCAATCACGGTTCATGAGATACAACCTGGAATAAGGAAACCTGATAATAATGGAATATCGCTTTGTACTTGCTTATATTTGGGCAGCCTATACTTAATAGATGCTGGCAACTTTGTGTGTTAAAAGGTATTAGTGATTATTTGAATGATAACTCACTGGAAATGAATTGATTCCTCCAGGCTCTTTCCAGTGAAATTGAATATATTCTAGACATTGTTGGTATTTTTTTGTCAAATAATGTTAAAAAAAATAATGTCCCGCTGAGTTTCTTTCGCCGGTTCTTCTCAGGTCAGTGGCATTTTTTACAAACCGGTAGTACTTATTGTTTTTTGAAAATCCTAAGTGTAATGATTTTATAATGAATAAAATATTCGAACGTGATTTCTGAATGAAAAATGATGAAGTTTTTGTTTTAATAAAACGCAAGGATCTATTTATCATATAATTATAATACCGCAACGCTTAAATGCTAAATACATGAGAGAAAGTGAATATAAGTACATGTCTTTGGCAAGCAAAGTCTCAAAAATAGTTATATTAGTACAATAATATAGAAAAAAAAAACAAAGCTTTAATATCAACCTGAATAATTTTATAGTATAGCAGTCTATGAAAGGCCACATACACAAAATAACTCACGTCATACGCATCACACTGTCGAATACTTTTGTTCTGTGATTTTCCGATTATTTTATTCGCATTATATAAGTACAAATTAAAGTAAAAAATAATAAAAAATGAGATTAAACTTTGAAATAATAAACCTTAGATACTAATCGCATTACTACATTTTTTTTATATCTTCAGTTCAAAACTATCAGTCAAGAAATAAAATTAAATATATTGGAAAGTAATATTTGTAATTGTACTTCAGAGTGACGCAAATGAGATTTTTAACGTATATCTATTCATAAATGCCTTGTATTATGGAATATATATTATACAAATTGTTTAAAACTTCAATAAAATGTAAGAAAATATTTGCTTCCAATTCATATAAAATTTTCATATGGTTCAGTCAATCTCATTTTATGAAACATAAGTACATAAAATCCTATACCACAGTAGCAGACACACAAAAACATCATAATTTTATTAATTTTACGAATAAAATATGTATAAATATCAATACATTTTCAAGAGTAAACATAAAATAATACAACTTTTTCTTGTTACACTAATTAAAGATAAAAATTTAAATCTTCATCGAAAATACAATATTATAAAGTTATGGTTCAGTCAATCCCATTTTAAGAAAAATTAAAGTACAAAAATAAGTATACAAAATCAGCAACTACAAATAATATATAATTTAATCTAAAAACTGATAATAATTTTATTAATTTAACGAATAAAATTGTATATAATACCTATACATTTTCAAGAGAAAATATAATATATTTTTTTTGGTTACACTACTTAAAGATAAAAATTAATATCTTTACGGAAAATCAAATCATATAAAGTTAAAAAGAAGCAGCAAAGGTTTAGTAAAAAAAACCCATTAAACATCAAAAATGTCAGTCACATTAAAAAGGTAGTGTAGTGAGAAGAGCATAATCATAGCCTTACTACTTCTAACACAACTTAAAGCAACCAAATTAACTTTTATTATATGTATAAAAAAACAATCGTATCCATATTATAAAAGTTTTGTATTTTAAATCTAACATCTATCTAACGTTGAATGTAAACGGCACTCTCTCCTGTAGATATATATGTATTCCCAAAACAATCAAAAATTTCTACCGAATAATACTTCGATGTCGCTAGTGTAGTAGAAAAGAACGAAGTTACTTTCGAGTTAGTGGAATAGCTAGATACCCATGTTTTCGTTGTCGCTAGTGAACGAAGTTAGAATAGAATGAAGTTACTTTTGAGTTAGTAGAGTAGCTAGATAGGTACCCATGTTTTCGATGTCGCTAGTGAATGAAGTTAGAAAAGGACGAAGTTACTTCTAGTTAGTGGGATAGCTAGATCCCTTAAGCTTGATATGGTCCTAGGGTGGAGCCACATATACGCATACATCTTTTTGAAATGGGACTAGAGGGAGTGTTACACTCGGTTTGAACAAAGTTCCTTGGCTGTTCTTTACGTCTTGATAACGGGCACAATGTAATAAACTAACAGTGTTTAAGAGTAGCTTAGTTAAAAATAAAAAATAAATGTTAATAAAACTGCGACCACTAATATTTATGAATGAAAACATTCGTTTCTTCCCCCGTTCCACGTTATACGGTCAGCTAGCAGGAAGATACAGAAGTAGTCGCTGAGATTCAAATGGAGAGGCATAACGCATTTTCCTTATGTGACGATTTTACGGTGGTAGGGCCACGCAGCAGCCTCGGCTGTTGCACGAACGGGCAGGCCCGTCCGGGTAAGTACCCCGACCTCACAGCAGCATCAGCGTAAAGTGGAAGTATGACAAATACTTTCGCGTTTCGTCTGGTGAGTGAGGTAGCCGGAGCCCAATTTTCAAAAGGTTGTCAACGCATCTGTAACCCTCGGGTGTGGCAGATGTCCATGGGCTGCGGTATTCACTTATCATCAGGTGAACCGTCTGCTCGTTTGACAACTTTTCGCATAAAAAAAAAACGATTTCTACCAGTTGACTTTACCCCACACAATAGGAACTTGACTTTACTCGTTCCAAAATAGTTCACAGTAAAGTTTCAGACGACACGAAGAGTGTTTTGTCGTTCGTTCCGAGTAGGTCGACGGTTTACTTGCTAAAGCAACTGTCGAATATATCGAAGAAGACTAAAATTTTAACAAAATTATTAACAATAGAAAAAATAAAATTGTGATGTGTCAATAAAATAAACCCGAGCTCTTACAATAGTTATGACAATGTTTTTAAAATCTGAAAATTCTATTTCAGTTACACTTTATTGATTTAATTTATTCAGTCCTTATTCTTTGTATAATTTTCAATGAGCTATGACTTCAACATTCATATAAAATTAATTATTATAATAAAATAATTAATATACATAATATAATACAAAAGTAATATCCTTCTAACAGTCTGTCTTCGATTAGCATGACAGTCACTAATTTGCAAAAATTCGATTTATTTTTGTATCGAAATTTAATATCGCTAGCCGACAGCCATAAGTAAATCAATTTTGAAGATCACTACAATCACTTTAAATTGAATGGAAGCAATTTAAACGGCTAATATAAAAAGTAAGTTAAATAAAAATTAATATTAAATATTAGATAACGAAGGATCTTGTTAACAAGATAATGAATACATCAAAAATTTCAACGGATATCTTGGCATGTTATTCATAACTCCCATTGCGACACCACTAGAGCAAGCAGAGTTCAAATACGATGACAGTGCCGTTTAACGACCGGTTTCTATATTCTATCTACAGATACATTTGGTTACTACCGATAGGTATCCAGCATTAGCTCCATAATTCTTACGTCAAAATTCTATCTCGAGTAAGAAAATCTATCTGTAGATAGAATATAGAAACCGGCCGTAGATCATCTGAAGGAATCTCCTTGTATAGGAAATGATCAAGATAAAATCAATATATAAAATCCGTCATTACAAATAGGTCTACCTAAATATGAACCATATAAAAAACTAAACAAAAATCATCGGCCTCTCAAAAACATACATAAAAGGCCCTTGCTTAGCAGTAGAACTGTCAAGGCTAAAAATATTATTTTGAATAATGGTAAAATTTAGAAATTTCCGGATTCTCCTAAATAATTTTAGCAGTCGTATGATTTTATTACAAATCTTCCAATAAATAAAGGATTAAGAAAATACTTCATATCATCATACCTTTATAGAGTTTGTTCCAGAATAGGTGTGTGATATGTTTAAGTATTTGCAAAATAATAATTATGTAGACGCTCTACCTTTTTTGCTACTTTAAAAAAAATTATTAACCAGCCAGATATAAGAAATTGCGATTGTATTCGATTAATAAAAAAATGTAAACGGCGCAGTTTTAAATATTCGAAAGCGAAATGTAGTGGAAAACAAAAAAAATCATTTCAAATTCCGAACTACCCACCGAGTATCGAAATCACGCTGCAGTCGAAAACAAAAAAAATAAAAACGTTTTTCAATTTTCGAACAAGCGTCATCGTTCACACGTGCGTCTTCTCGGTCCTCTCGTTGAGCGGCTTCTTCTCGGCGCTGTCCCGCTCCGGCCGCGGCGGCTCGTTCCAGGGCTGCTGCTCGCCGGAGCCGAACATTGTGTACACGACTATCTCGATTATGTACAGCCCTATCGTCACGAAGAATATCACCCGCCACGCCGATATGGTTTGCTGGAAAAGAGACTAAAATTTAGTATTTAAAAAGTAATAAAAAAAGTAAAAGTAAAGTAACAGCCTATACATTTCCCACTGCTGGGCAAAGGCCTCCTCTATACAGAGGGTATCAGGGCATAGTCCACCACGCGGCCCCACTGCGGATTGGTGGACTTCACATATCTTCGAAATATATATTTTTTTGTTATTATTTCGAAAATATGCAGGTTTCCTCACGATGTTTTCCTTCACCGCGGAGCACGTGATAAGTCAGCACTTAAAGTTAAAAACTTCATTGGTGCCGGCACCGGGGATCGAACTCAGGTTGCTCGAGTATATTGAATTAAAGGCGAGCGCCCGGACACTGAGCTATCACGGCTCTTTTTTATTTAAAATTAATACGAGTAAATAATTTGAATTTTTTTTATAAAATTCTTTCTTTAAGGACATAATTTTTTTCAGGTCATACAAAAGCTTCCAAACACTATTCCCTAAGTGTATCATGTGGTATAGATAATTAAACTTACATTTCCATGTGTTAAGACTCCGACGAAAATCGGCACCACCATTCCGGGGATAGTCGCCACGGTATTCGTCAAAGCCATGAGGGTACCTAAAATACATGCAATGGATTTTATATCAAATCAATGCAAATCAATAAAAAATATCTCTTTTCAAATAGACGCTGGCGCGTTCTTATGAATCGTTAAATTTTACATAAAAAGTTATAGGTAGTAAGGTACCATTTCGTATACATTTGGCTATTACTTAAAGAACGCTATAGTGCAAAAATCGATTAAATAATTTTGAACAAAAAAAAAACCGACATCAACCAGGAAACTAAAAGCAAACTAAAATCAGATCTGGGTTTCCTTATCATGGTACCACCCTTGGGATATCTCCTTTCTAACAAAATACAGATAGCAGGCGCGAGCTTTATTATTATGAAATAGGGTGATCATATAAGCGTGTCTCTACCAAGTTAAATCCCCGAAACACGCATAAAAAAAAATAAAACTATAAACGATCGAATTGAGAAACCTCCTCCTTTTTTGAAGTCGGCCCAAAATAAATTAATTAATAAAAAGAAACAAAATTTGTAACATCCTATACAACTACATTTACTGATTCAGAGACTTTTCATTCGTTGCCACGCGCCGCTTTACAAGCCTTCCTTGACAGTATGTGTGATCTTTTTTTTTTTTTTTTTTTTTATGCGAAAAGTTGTCAAACCGAGCAGACGGTTCACCTGATTTTAAGTGAACCACGCCGCCCATGGACATCTGCTAAACTCAATATTACAACGTTAAAAAAAACCATAATTAAAAAAAAATTATTTTTCAAACAAATTAATTAAGTAAAAAAGAAACGAAAATTTGTCAACTTCCACGTATACAACTACATTTACTGATTCGTGGTACTTACCCGGAGGGACTTTTTCATTCGTTGCAACAGCGAGGCGCATTACGTGGCCTCTCCTTCGAACACCGTACACCGTCTCTTTTAAATTCATTCAACCTATATGCTTTGTGACCTTTACAAATGAACTTAACATTAAAGTTTTATACGTGAGGGTGTTCTAAAGTTCTTTATAAATATTGATGTTTAAAGAATGTAAATCTTTAATACAACTTCAAAAAGTTATCCTCTATATGTGTGTTCATTTATTGTCACGATGGTAAAGACACGCCGTATGGGAGATTCGGTGTGATCTACATGAGATTCAATACCGGCGAAGTTGGGGGCGATGTCGATGTGGTTGGAGAGGAAGCCGCAGAACATGCCGCCGATGCTGGTCACCCCGACGGCCATCAAAGCGACGGCGGCACCCCGCGCGCACCCCACGTAGCACAGCGAGAGGAGGCACACAGCCGGCACCGCCGACGCTGCATCGTGCACAACGCGAGTTTACTTTTTTCTTCTTTTCATAAAAACGTTCGCCTTACTATAAGATAATACTATCGTGTGTTGCGATTGTAAGAGCGTTTTACAATCATTCCACGTGGACTAACATCCAGATCCGAAACAATTATCAGTGGGTCACACAAATACTTGTCCCATGTGGGAATCGAACCCACGACCCCTGTTGCCACAGCCAATACCTGGCCAAATGCGCGACGGAGTCATATATTTAATTTTATGTTTATGTGTATGTAATGATTATATTAATTACACAATTATTGTATGTATAATTTAAAAATGTTTAATTTAATATAAAAATATTTAATCACATTTAAGTATTTTTTTTAACTTTATAACTTCATTATACGATCCATCACTACATAATATATTCAACCTTGCACCCACTCACCGAAGAATGTGCCTATCTTCCTAGCAGTAGTGGTCGTGATGTAGCCCTTCCCGCGCATCCAGTCCAGGGTCCTGCTCAGGGCGATACTGAAGAACCAGAGCGACAGGAACGGCAGGGAAGTTGTGACGGCGTTCTGCAATATACAAAAAATACAATATTTTTATATAATCTTGGCTCACGTGGCTTTTTTCCTTTGAGATTTCTTATGGGACGCACCAGAATACAGGAGAAAAACCCTTGCCTATTCCCACTGTATTGTGGCTAGTAATGGACAGTTCTTTACAGTCCACTTTTACAGTAGCCCACTTTTTTATAATATGTCAGCGTCACGCGTCAGCTGTTGTAGATGTTCATGGGTGGTTCATTTAACATCAGGTGAACCGCCCAGAATATCTAGATCCCCCGCGCCGAAATCCCCTATTACGGCAGGTGTTTATTTAGTAGGAACAATCGGGACGAGCACACTAGTTAATTATTACACTATTATACGAACGTCAACTAATCATCATACAGTTATATCATCACAACTTTGCAAGTATTATTCATATTTCATATATTTACTGTGCGTAGTAATTAACCGCATCAATATCACCGTACTTATGCCAGCCAGCTCAAATAAACAAAAACACACTTGAAAATAACGTTACCGTCGTTGGTAACACTGCCGACGTTACAGTAATCTTAACCTTTGAACGAGCAATTCTTGTATATATATCATATATATAATCGGAAGCCACGATCTCGCTCCAGCGATTTTCACGAAATTTAGTATGTGCGTAGATTCGGGAGCGAGAAATCGATCTAGCTAGGTATCATATAGGTATCTAGGTATCATATTATCTTATTATTACGTCGGTAAGGTCGAAAAAGATTATGCATATTTCATTACTTGGTAATTTGTATTTAAATGTAATTTCCAAAATACACGATTTGCCAAAAAAAAAAAAAAAAAACAAACCGTCAAATACCTATCGCCAGTAACCAAATGTATCTGCAAGAGGATTATTGCAACCGGCTCTAAGGGATAATCGAAGAGACCAGTGTTTTAATTTACAACTCCCACAGTCGACGCCTGCACACCCGTCGCTAGGCTCACCTCGGTCATGTTGAACTTCAGCACCTGCTTCATGTAGAAGGGCAGTTCGATGAGGAGCATGTACCAGCCCCAGTTGGAGCAGGCGTGCGCCACCAGGATGGCCAGGAATGCGGGCCGAGGTGAGCACCGCGCGCCACGGCACCGCCAACTTCTGGAGGGGCCAAAGTACACGAAAAGTACAGTGACAGCCTATATATCTCCCACTGCTGGGCAAAGGACGTAGGGTATTGTGCTCATTGTGCAGAGGGTATTTGGGCACAGCCCACCATGCGGCCCCGCTGCGGATTAGCGGAGTCCACATATGTAAAAAATGTTTTATTTTTCATTTTCATTGGTGCCGGCACCGGGGATCGAACTCGGGTTGCTCGAGTATAATGAATTAAATACATTAAGCTATCACGGCTGTGAAAATAACATTTTCTTTCTCGAACGCTGACGTTTACGCCCGGGCGCTCGATTTTAATTCAGTATACTCGAGCAACATTAGTTAAAAGTCCTGAAATGCTCGCAATGAAATTGTTAATTTTAAGTGCTCATATATCGCGTGCTCAGATGGGTGACGGTGACCACTTACCATCTAATGAACAATAAAAAAGAGATACCAAGACTTCTTCTCTCTTCTCAAGACGAGTTTCTTGCCGCTTGTTCACTGTTCAGTTCTAGTTTAGTGAACCGGTAGTAGTTTTTGACGTTCAATAACAGCTTAAACAAAGCCTGTATTGAATAAATAAATTCTCGACTTTGACTTTGAATGAGAACCGTATCCTAACCCACTTTTGCTTTAAAAATGTCCCCAAAAGCGAAGACGGGTGGCCGTTCTAGCGCGTACCTTGTGAGGCGAGTGGTCGTCGGCGTGGCCACCCAGCGAGGAGACGATCATCTCGCGCTCCTCTGCGCTGATGAGGGGCTGCTGCTGCGGGGAGTCCTGTACCAGGAGCACCCACGCAACGCACCAAACGCACGACAAGCCGCCCATCACGTAGAAAACGCTCTCCCAACCTGTTCAAATCGTATTTTTTTGTCGAAACTGGCCATCGCTCGATTGCCTTCCGACCTGATGGTAAGTGGTGTGTAGACGTTGATGGAAAGCGCACTGGCTCAGTGAAAACCTTGCCTTGAAGACGCCTACGTTGTAATCTGACGGTAAGACGGACACCGGCAGGTTGTTCCATTCCTTGTTGACATCCATTGTTCCAGTATTAGAAATTACTTCCTCCTATCATTTCGTTGCCGCTCCATTTATGGATTGCTATCTCCTGATTTCTATTATATTTTATTAGATTGATTAGAAAATATAAACAATAGCTATTAGACTCATTTTTCCTTGTGTTATAAGCATCGATTTTTCACTTCGTGTTTGTTTTGTATGTTAAAGGTTGGCAAACGAGCAGTGGGTTAGCCTGATTTGTTTACCGCCGCATAGTTACCTAACGCGAACGGATTGCATTTTTTTATGTGAGAAGGTGGCAAGCGAGCTTGCGGTTCATCTGTTTGTAAGTGATAGTCGCCGCCCATGGACGTTTGCAACACCCATAGTTGCAGATGCGTTGCCACCTTTTAATAAAGAAGCCAGGCTACCTCACTGACCAGAAGAATCGCACAAGTATAATACTTCTAATTCACGGTCTTGTGTGAGCTCGTGATACTTCCCCGGATGGACTGGCCATGATTCATGCTACAGGATCGTACTTAGAATTGAGTGGCCCTACCACAGAAATAATGTTGTAAGGGAGGGCGTCTAACGAACAAACTATTCATAAAAACCTTATATTCAACGTCAATGATAAACGATTCCGGTCCACGGGTAAACTAAATTAGATTGGGCCGTTACTGGCCACGGTTATTGGCCATCCAGTTGACTATACAAAGCAATCAAAAGGTAAACTTTTCAAAAATGTATCGAACGTTAGACAAACTCGTTTCGTTGACAAACAAAAATTCAAAGACGTGAGTGACCTGCCGGAATAAATTCACTCACCCAGCGTCGCAGTAAGTACGCCCGCCATTAGCATCGAAATGACAGTTCCCAGTGAGGTTCCCGCGTAAACGAGGGCCGCCATTACGCTGCGCTCGGCAGGCGGCGCCCATTTCGACAGCAGCACGTGCATCGCAGGGAACGTAACTCCCTACGTATATAGTTAATGAAATGGATGCAATATGCGAATGAAACATGTCAATGGGTACAACACATTTGAGTAAACGGGTACAAATACGAATGAGATGTGAACGAAATTTTAATAAACGGGTACAAATAACAATAAAACTACGTGCTACGTTTAACTAGTAGTCGTAGTTTGAAATAACAAAGAGGAGAATTAAAGAGAGAGAGTGACAGAAATCTAGTGCGAACCTTCTCCAGAAAAAGACCTAGGCTTTAAGATCCAATGTATATCTTTATTTATTGCTTGTGTTTTCACACCAATCGTATTTTAAGAATAGTTTATTATGACAGCTTAGCTCTACTCTCCTCGCTATAACAGTACGTTTCTAAAAATATAGTTACGTGTATACAGACTTATCAAATTGAATGCAATCATACACACCCCTCCAACGCCCTCCCCCACCCTCATAAGCATCACCGCCACGTAGTGTGCCTCGGCCATCACCGGTGTCAACAAAGTGCACACAACGTTGATCGTGACGCTGAAAAACATCACCCATTTGGCGGAGAAGAGCTCGGCGACTCGGGCCCCTGAAAAGAAAGCGCGTCTACGATATGGCACTGTATGACGGACTTTTGAGATTCTTATTTATATTTATTTATTTATATATTTATTGTACACAAAACACAGGATACAAAAAATAATAATGAAAATGAAAATAATGTACAAAAGGTAAGCTTAACTCAATATGCGAGTTCTCTGCCAGCTAACCTGGTGAGAAAATAGGTGATTGAAGGTAGCTGGAAATGTGTTCAGTGCATAGATTCCGAGATATTCCTATAATATACCCTACATAAACATATATATTAATATATAAATATATATACATATTCTTTAATCATATAACTTTTAAATCATCAAAAACAATCAAGTCATAATAACAAACTAATGCACCCCGAGGTCTCTTAAACCTGCACACTTCGACCTATGGTGGTTGACCAGATGTAAAGTGATAACCGCCGCCCATTGACATTTGCAACACCCGTAGGGTTGCAGATGTGGCCACTCACCTCACGAAACGCAGAAGTATAACACTTCTAACTCACGCCGGTCTTCTATGAGGTCGTGATACTTACCCGGACGGACCTGCCCATTCATGCAACAACATTGTTGCGTGGCCCTATCACCGTGAGTTAGCTACTTCTTTAGATATTTCTGCCTATAAGCTGATCAAATAATAACTTTGCTGCTGCCACCGCGATTTGAACTCAGTTTATTCGCGGACTTCATCAAGGATTCTCAAATTTGGCAGCATTTGGAGAAGAATACGTCCCTTACGACTCCCGCATTAATGAACTCATAACGCAAACCGATAAATTAGTTTGGACAGTATTTTTTTTGCTGCTAAATTCTCAACTCGGTCCTCAGTTATAATTCATCTGGTTTGTAAAAGAGTAAATGTGTGTTAACGATATTTCAAGTGCTTTCTTCACTAATTTTAGCTCAAATCAACGTTTTGGAATTCAGGTGGATACGGCAGTTTTATTGCTATGATTTCTTTTGGGATAATTTCTTGTGTTTAGGTAAGCAGTATTGCAAGTAGTCCCCAACTTAAATGATTACAACGGACAACATTATTAACAATTATTGCATATATATTTTTTTTTATTTGAGGAAGTGGCAAACGACCTGGCGGTTGCAGATACGTCGCCCTCAGATAAAAACCCGACCTCGCCCTTCTTTTACGATGGCAGGGCCACGCAACAGTGTTCACTGTTCCACGAAAGGGCAGCTCCGTCCGGGTAAGTACCGCGACCTCACAGAAGACCGGCGTAAAGTAGAAGTGTTACACTTCTGCGTTTCGTCTGGTGAGTGAGGTAGCCGGGGCCCAATTTATTTAAAGGTAACGCATTTGTAATCCTACGGGTGTTGCTATTGTTCGTGGGCGGCGGTTATCACTTAACATCAGGTGAACAGGCAGCTCGTTTGCCACTTTCTCACATTTAAAAAAAACGAAAAAGTATTATTCACGCTTAATATTAAAATTTTAGTGCTAGTCTTTGCACTTAAGACTTGTGTAAATAGGACTATCCCAAAGTTTTTCGCCGCTGCACTGGTTCGAACCGGATTACGCGTCTAGTAGGTGCAGTTTGGAACTTGGCGGCTTTGAAAATTTTTGGAACAGTCTTAATTACACATTTTTTGTATTTATACTTTTATATTTTTTCTTTCGAGGTAATATACCAGGTTAACAACCTTCATAAGGGCACTACTAGGCTGCCATAATCAACAAAATATTTAATAGCAGCGTATATGAATTATTTTACATCGATGACACCAATTACTGGCTCAATTTTACTTCTCAATCTTCTAAACAGCTAGCGTTCTTGGCAGAAACAAACAAGCAAACCTTATCCACGCGGCATGGTGCCATGCCGCGTGGATATTAGATACAGATTTATTAGATAATATGCAATTTAGATAGATTTATTGTTGTAAATGTTGGATAAATAAATTTTTCACCTAGAATTATAGCTAAGCCATAAATGGCACCATGGTCCTAAAGGCCTGTTACCCATTCACGGAATGCGGATAGATAACGGGTTTTTCGTTTTGTTCCTTACGCACATCGATGCATCAGGTACTACGATGAAACGCGAGTTGAGAATGGGTTTCGTCAGGGAAGGCGGGGCCGTTTTTTTTGTGTCGATAATCCTTGCTGTTTTTTTTATTTCAAAATAATGAAGTAAGCTGTTTACCCGATGGCAAATAAGGAGCGCTTCCACTTACAAAATCAATGATATTGCACTTAGTATTGGCCTCTAGTTGATATGAGCCGTGATAGCTCAGTGTCCGGGTGTGCAGTGTGCTTTTAATTCAATATACTCGAGCAACCTAAGTTCGATCCCGGTGCCGGCACCAGTGAAATTGTAAATTTTAAGTGCTCACTTATCACGTGCTCAGCGGTGAAGGAAAACATCGTGAGGAAACCTGCATATTTTGGAAAAACCAAAAAAATATATTTCGAAGATATGGACTATGCCCTAATGCCGTCTGTACAGAGGAGGCCTTTGCTCAGCAGTGGGACATACATAGGCTGTTACTTTAATTTACTTTTTTTGGCCTCTAGTTACCATACTCCGCAGAGGAATTTTAAACTCACCGGGACCGATATCACCCTGGTTCCTGGCCAATTCCTGTAGTATTTACGACCGAGCCTCCACATGGTGTTTCGAAACATGTTAAAAGTCACATACAACTTTATATCATAAATAAAGGTCACAGCACACGTACGTAGTGACATATATTTTCACTTACCCGGAATTTGTGAAACAAAATATCCCCAGAAGTAGCAACTGAGGACGAAACCTTGGATTTCCGACGACCATTCGAAAGGCCCGTCCGCCTCCTGGAACAATATTTATAATATTCATAATTTACAAATATAATTTACTACGTACTTAATGTCGGAGCGCTCGCCTCTAATACGGTACACAACTACTCGAGCAACCATTTAAGTTGTATACCGTATAAGAAAAGTACTTATGTATACTGTATAAAAAAACAAAACTCTTATGAGTTTATGTTTGTATCAGTTTAAAATGTTTTTTAAAATTTTATTTCTTATACATATAAATTTAAAAAAAAGGCTGTAATTGCCATCTCTTTTTCCACTAGTGGAATAAACATTTATATACATATTCTTATTAATGCACATTAAAATTATTGCATGACATTAATATTATTACATGGCATATCTATCATGGCGATCGCAAAATTTTAAATTTATCACGACGCCCGCAGTCAGAGATGACTTTTAACTGATTAGCCCAAATATTAAATTCGTTTATTACCCACGTGGAGTTGCTTACAAGCCATTAAGAGAGAACATCTCAGGTTTTTTTTCCTATTAGACGCTAATTGGCGTTTCTGAGTGTAGCCGTTACTTATCTTAGTGGTGCAGCCGCGTCGGCATTCCGATTAATTTTAAAGGGAATTAAGGCCGAAGCGATCGTCGTTTGTTTTCATTGAACTTGATTGAAACATATTCCTGCTATAAATAAGATATTTAGGTCAGACGGATACTTTAATGTAAATGTCGCGGTCGATAAATAACTAGCGATAAATATATTTGTATCGTCCTTCTGCATTCGAATAGCGTCATAAAAATGTAATGATTTAGGTCCTTAAACTGGTTGCTTCACTGTAAACATTGTCAGTGTAACTCGACATCGATGACAGCAGAATGAACAGAATGTGTCAGCATTATCATAGCTTATTATGCAATTAAATTAAATAGGTAGCAAAAATGTATAGGTACATATGTTAATTAAATACTGCTAGCACATCTAGGCACAAGACAAATCTAAGATGATGTAATAATATATGCCAACTTTACAGGTAGTTTCCTTACAATTTGATGGACAAACAACAATATATTTTGGTACCTCATTAATTTTTTTATACATTTTATAGAATTTGAGTTTTAAAATGGATATTACTCGAAAACGGTCAGACCAAAATCGGTATGAATCTTTTTAAACAATCCTGAAACGATAAATAATATAACGAATGGATCCTACAAGTACAAAGGTAGTTATTTTTGGATTTAGTTACACCTTGTGCCAATTCCAGTGAAATTATAATTCCCACTGCTCGGATGGAGATTTAGTATGAGTTTGATTCCAAAACGAGGTAAAGTTTTTATTATTATGTGAAAAAGTTCAGCTTCAGCAGTTCAGGGCGGTTCGGCTGTTTTCTAAAAGTGGGCCCTGGTTACCTCACGCATTAGATGACACGAAAATTTTGCTTCTCGTCGGTCTTCTGTGAAATAATGGTACTTTCCGGGCGAATATGCCCACTGTAAATATTTGAACGCTCAGACAACTTTTCTGAGACTGAGTGAATTTTGTACTGTGATATTCATGTTTGTTAAATTCCCCGCAACACAGGAGGAAACTTTATTATTTGATGAAGTTCTATCCGAAATTCAGCTACGCGATGATACATAAATTCTGTTAAAATAACGTCTGTTGCTTCTGTTTTGTTTTTTTGGAATCATTCCAAAATCCATAATCATCGTTTCAACGAGTGTGGCCGCATTATAGGCGCGTGATTGATCCTGAACAAGGTCAAACGACAAAAATAGTTTCTTTATTACCGATTTTGAATGCGGCCTCTTGTCACTTCACTAACATAAATGTACATATAGGACTTCGAAATCAAATAATTGGCATTGAGAGAAAAAGACATTCCTCCTATCTACCTATCTCTTTAGCTATCCGATGATGTGAATAATTTTTTTAAGAATTTAAATGTTATATATTTCCAAAAAAAGATCAGACCAGATCAGACCCTAGATGGCTTTTTATAAAATTGAATGCTTTCAGCTTCTAAGCCCCATTTTAACTTTTCTTTTTTGTTTATGAAAAGGTTATGAATGCCACCTTCGGATGTTATGCTTTTGACATAATCGTTGAGATAATGAAAGATCTGTACTTGCGTATGATTTTTGCCGTTTTTTACAAGTCATTTTCCAACATCCGAAGACGAGACAAGGGATGCCTTAAGTGAAATACGACTTAAATTCTTGGCATCATGCCGTGGACAAGGAACGTTTGATGTAATGAGTAAATTATCCTCTTAAACACTGTACACCGTATCGTATTAACAACACCTACTACATAATTAATCATTGATGCGTTGAAGCTCACATTAGCCTATAATGGGCTAACTGTTGGCTTAGTAACTTTCGCACGGGACAGGTGTTGTAATAAAACACCATCCACTCAGCTTAGTGATAGAAGTTTATGAGCGTTTATACATTGATACTTATATTGTAATGTGACATGACAAACGATTTTATTATTTTTTTCAACCCGAAAAGGACACTTTTTTAAACGAGCATTTTATCGTCCTCGAACTAGGAGTATGAGCTATGTTATTTTTTAGTAAAGTTGTAGTAGTTTTATAAAAGTAGTAGTATAGTTACTGTTGTAACCTTTATAGCTCTGTGTCCGGGCGCTCGTTTTTAATCCATTATACTCGAGCAACCCAAGTTCTAACCCCGATGCCAGCACCAACCAAATTATTGATTAACACGTACTGACGTAACATGTGCAGAGATGAAAGAAAACTATGTGAGGAAACCTGCATATTTTTGTAATAACAAAAAAATATTTCGAAGATATGTGAGGTCCGACAATCCACAGTGGGGTCGCGTGGTGGACTATGCCCTATGTAGGACGTAAATATAGGCACATACTTTACTTCACTTTCATTTGTATTTTCGCACTGACACCGAAGTCTTAAATTTGGAGACATTACCACCTTTTCTCTTTGAAAAATTAACTTTTTATTACACTTGGCACAAACTTTTTATGTGTACGGTGAGGAGCAAAATATCTCTTGTGCTCCAGTTATTGCAATTTATTCATTAGGTGGGGCGAAGGGTGAAAGAACGCAATTAGCATCATGCATTAAAAGAGGCATTAAGTGATTAAACATTGAAAAAAAAAACTATCACGCGTTTGGTGCTGAATCAATAAGTATGTCCTCATATAAATATATTAAACTTGAGAATGGCAGACACACCGGTCAGTAAGTATAAAAACTATGGTCTATTAGGGGCTCCTGTACACCAGGATGTTTACTGGTATGCGGGAACAATGCCCAACAGAAAAGCCTGTCCGTACACTTTGTTTCTTGCTAGTTGCCACGTGATATCGTTTTAAAGTCGTAACTTGTATTATATATTTTTTACGGGAGAAGGTGGCAATCGACCTGGCGGTTCACCTTCGCGTTCGTGGTATTCACACGGACGGACCTGCCCATTCGTGCAACAGAAGAGACTCTTGCGTGGCCATGCCACAGTCGAAATTTGGTACTTATATATGATTTATCTTGTAACCTTGTTAGATTTAGATAAAAAATTACTTAAATAAATCTTACCGTAGAATTATGTCCGCTAGTCGAAACGCATTCAGGCTCACCAGACACCAAGGTGTTGTTGTTGTGATCGGGCAAGTCCTCTTGGGCCGACAGCCTTATGGACGTGTGGTTCAGCATACCCACCATAGCGACAGACAGGTTAACCTTCAACCCGTATATGATGGCCATGCCGATGGAGCCCAGGACGGCGAGGATGTACCGGGCCGGCACGACCCCTGGTGACGGCAAAATTTTAATATAAGTGAGCAATATAAAAAATAATGAAATGGGACTATAATATTAATTATACTATAATATTAATATAATATTTTTCGGACACATTTTTTACCCAACGTTCTCTTGTCCCAAACTAAGCAACGCTTGTACTATGGGTACTAGAAAATGATAAACATACTTAAAAATACTTTTCTTTTGTAAATATATACATCTTATACATATAAACACCCAGACACTGGGAAAGCACGATGTTCATCACACAATATTTTTCCAGTAGTGGGATCGAACCCACACCCTATGGCGTAAGAGGCAGGGTCACTAATCCCCACGTCAATCGGGTCGTCGATATACGATATATCTCTAAACTACTAATAAGGTCATACAGTCTTCACTATTGACGAATGAACTGGTCCGTCCGGGAAAAGACCACGACCTCACAGAAGACCGGCGTGAAGTTGAATTGTTACACTTCTGCGTTTCGTCTTGTGAGTGTTGTAACCGGGGCGCACTTTATTAAAAGGTGCCAACGCGGGCAGAGTTGCACCCTACAGTCGTTGCAATGTCCATGGGCGGCGGTTACTACTTAACATCAGGTGAACCATCAGCTCGCTTGCCACATTGAAAAAAATGTCAAACGGTTGATTAATTTCTTACGCTTTCAAATAACTTGCCCTTATAGCTGGAGCATATCTATTGTTATGTACAAAATTCACAAATACACACCCCTATATACGGAAGTGAGTTCGTAACACAAACTGCTGGTGGCAGCCCATAGTTAGCCGCTACATAAACCAAAACATAAGAAAATCTTGAATGACAAATATAGATGATGGCACGAATTTCAGTTGAATGTCTTGGTTACCCGGTACAATACAAAACGCGGTTTTCTTACCGCCCCCATTATCAATACAATTTATCATTACTAGGCTAATTGAAATGCAAAACGTCGCCGCTCCCCCGTACGAAAAAATAATCATCGATCAACGTCACGTAATTCGACGCGAAAACAAACAGGTGGTGCATTAAAAAGACCTCAGTTTACGTTTCTACTCCTACTAAACTTACAACTTGTTGTACTAACTAAGGCTTTGTCTGACGAAACACTTTGTAATTTCAAACCCCAGCCAGATAACAGCTACCGATCGAGCCGAGGTCCGGCCCTCTCGGGCACCCTCGAATCGGAATGCTAAACGCGTTTTGAGTGACAGCCCAAGCCGAGGTCCCCTCTCGGGGACCCTTGAGCCTAGTCACTCCATGGAGCGTCCGCCAAAGCGCCCTAAGAGCTTGGCGGCCTCCCAAATCGGTGAAATTAACAGCGTGACGGCCCGAGCCGAGGTTCCCTCGGGAGCCCGAACTTAGTCGCCATAACGCGTAATAATAATACGCCGAGGCTTAGACTAGGCGCCCCGAGCGCCCCGCCACCTCATGCCCGTCGGATCTTTAAAGGCCCCTAAGGCCAACAGAGGCACAACCACTCAAAAAAAAAATTCAAACTGGCGTATTCTGGCTAGCCCACGTGTTCTGCGTTCGACGAAGCTTTAATAGTCTACGGACTAAAGGCGCTAACCTTACCAATCTATATATATATATATATAATTTTTATGTAGAATCTGACGATTCATAAGAACGCGCAAGCGTCTATTTGAATAAAGATATTTGATTGATTGATAACATCAGTAACAACAATGAAACGAGCAAAAACTACATTGTAAATATGATTGTCAAGCCACAGAAACGTTCCATTCCATCCCAACCCATCCTTAATAATTAACCCAGTTGTAAGTATTATAGTGCATAAGTAATCTTGTGCCAGGGGTGTTCAAGGCACCCGTGAGGAGTTGCCAGATCTCCCATCGGGCGCGTCCGCAGGTGGCGGATAGGGGAATATCATCCAATCCTGGGTGATACCGGGAAACCGGCGCGGACCAAAACTGGCAGAGGAGGGCGTTCTGGGAGTCCTTACCAGGACTTAGGGACGTCCAAGGACTCAAAGTCCTAGGAGGCAAGCCTGCAAGGCGAGCCTTCGTTGCTCCCAGTATCTCTCTCAAGTGAGAGATGACAGGGGATGCAACAAGGGGGGAAATGTGCGAGACGTATGAAAGGTGTGTGCTTTGGGGGGAAAGGGGAAACAGGTGAGTGATTGCGTGATGTATGAAAGGAAGTTCCCGAGAGGGGACGGTGTGATTTGCGCGGTGTGTTTGCCAAGTGCACTCGGCTTCTGTCGACACCGGGCGATCTCGGTACTCTGCTGCAGGTGTCGTGGATCATGTCTCGCAGCCTGCGGCAGAACCGAGGGTCTTGCCTTAACCGGCCGGACCGCGAGGAGTAAACCTCACTAAAAAACCGGAGATTTCGGCGTTACGGTACGCGTCGTCGGATGCTCGAAAGAGAGGCTGGACCGTCAAACCAGTCATAGCGGCCAACCCTGGGTACCTCCCGACCCCCAGGTGTATGTAGGGTTACCGGGCTACAAGGTCACTGGCCCGGCGGACTTTTATTTACCTAATACGCGTGGGAATTAAATGGAATTCATAAACATAAAACAAAAAAAAAACGGATGGAATTATCACAAACAGACACCTGCATGAACACGGACAACGATGTGCTTTGTGAAATAGCAGAGACGGAAGGACGCATGGACCGTAGGAAGTCTGCGTCTTTAGGTGAAATAAGTCGGACGCCTACTGATAACGTAGGACCTTCAAGGTTCTTCAGGGACGTTAGAAAGCGCCCGAGAAGCGGAAACAACGACTTGGAGAGCGAGGTGTCAAGCGAAGACGAACAACCTGCGCTAAAGGTGCCAGCTGGGAAAAGGCATATCGACTGCAACCCTAACGAGAGATGCGCGGGGGCGGTTCCTGAAAACCACAAACACACAGAGTGACCTGTCAAGTTCAGGAAGCAGGAGCGGGAGAAAGAGTAACGCCGCCATGGAACCTGCGACCAGCGCCGGAGAGCATATTTGCCTAGCTAAGTCTAAGGCTGCACTGGCCGCAGAGGAGCGCGCCAGAAAAGAGCTGCAGGCCGAAAAGGAGGTGGCGGAGGCCACGCAGAAGGCGCGTGTACAAAGGCCAGCCTGGCTCAACGAAGCGGCAGCCAATGAAGAAAATCAATTGCCTCTGGCGGGTGACCTGCGTGACCAGGTCCTACAACAAGTAGAGATCGTAACGCAGGTCGCAAGCAAATCAAAAAATTTAAAGGGGACTTTCGTCAGGGCTCTCAAAGAGGCGGCCATGGCCATAAAGGGAGCAGTAGAGGAACTCTCAAAGGCCACGGTCACTGAGGAAAATAAAAAGATGGCGGCAGACAACAAGCGCCTGAAAGCAGAAGTGCTGGAGCTCCGCAACGAGTTAGCTGCACTTCGGGCGGATTTGCGAAGGACACAAGAGGCACGCGAGGTGGCTTCAGTCCCTTCCCCATCAGGCGTGCCGGTAGATCCAGAGCTCCTGCAGCGCTCTATTTTAGAGGCAGTGGGTAAATTGGTAAACGCTCGCCTGGAGAACCTTGAGGACAGGTTGTTGCCCGAGAGGCGCCTTCGCCCTCCTTTGGCAGCGGATAAACCACCACCCATGGTAGCCAAGGCCACATCTTATGTGGCCGCTCTCAGAGCTACTCCAAGGGCAGGCACAAGCGGCATTTCACAGGCTCTAACGACAGCTTCGCAGGAAACCTCCTGTGAAGCTGACGGGACAGTATTGCAACCCGGACCATCCCGCCCTAAGATCCAGCGGGAAGGAACGAGCAAAAAGAAGAAGGGCGGGAAACGCGAATCCCAACCAGATGTTACCAAACAAGCTGCAAACGGTGTTCCACCGCTGATGACATCTGGTCCGCTATCCGAGTGGACGCTAGTCACCCGGCGCAGTAAAAAGTCAGGCAGTGGTCCCAAAGTAACCGCACCGGTTGGAAAGTCAAAGGAGCACAAGAGGATGCCGAAGCTTAGGCCCCCTCGCTCATCTGCTGTAGTTATCAAGCTGCAGCAGGATGCAGCGGCAAAGGGAGTTACATATGCCGACATCCTCAAAGAGGCTAGAACGGCGGTCGATTTCCAGGGTTTGGGAATCCAGGCCCTCCGGTTTAGGAAGGCCGCAACAGGTGCGCGGATCCTGGAAGTGCCTGGGGTAGATAGTGGCGAAAAGGCCAACTTGTTGGCTGAAAAGCTGCGTCAAGTGGTCGGCGACGAGGTTGCCCTAGTCTCCAGGCCTGAAAAAAGCGCTGATCTGCGCATATCGGGCCTAGACGATGCGGCGGAGAGGACGGAGGTTGCTGAAGCTGTCGCGAAGTACGGCGAATGCCCAGTAACCTCTGTCAAAGTGGGGGAAATCCGCAGGAACAAAAATGGTCTGGGTACAGTCGTAGTCAGTTGTCCAGTTGGTGCCGCTGGAAAGGTGCTTAACGCCGGCCGTGTTCTCATAAGCTGGTCATCGGTGCGGGCGAAGCTGCTTCCGCAGAGGCCCCTACCAATGCACTGCAGAGATTGACCTGAGCAGCTCCTGCTACCAATGTGATCAGTTAGGCCACACATCTGTTCAATGCTCGGCAACACCACACTGTTTGGTGTGCGCCGGAGCGAGCAAACCTGCTGGCCATAGGCTGGGTAGCAAGGCCTGCACCACCTCTTGCAAACCGAATGTCAAGAGGAGTCGAAGAAATGACGTCACTGTAAACGAAGCCCAGAGTCAGTCAACCCGCCAAAACGCCACTGAGGCCAGGGAGGAAGGGACACCGATGGCCATACAGTAGTAAATGGCCACCATATCATTCCTGCAGGCGAATATAAATCACTGCGCCAGGGCTCAGGACCTAATGTTCCAGACCATGGCGCAGTGGTTGATACAAGTGGCCGTAGTGTCGGAACCGTATTTCGTCCCGCCTGATGACAACTGTGTCGGGGACCTTTCTGGCACTGCGGCAGTGGTCTGCAGGACCGCTGCGGGTTTCCCATCTCTCACCAACGTGAGAAGAGGTTCAGGCTTCGTGGCAGCTCAGCTGGGGGAGA